GCATCAAATAATCAAAGCGATATGTAATTTGCCACAAGTTAATAGTGGTACCATGAGAGGAATGTGTTAAAAAACGAGGAAACTGAGGAATTAACGGACTGTTTCAACTTTTGTATTGAGCCATGTGGTAAGAATCTTATCTTCAGCCCCACTAACTCAATATTTTGTTGTAACTCGTGTGTAATGTGTGCAAAGTAGTGGATCTGTGACTCTACTCTGGGCTTTGTGTATGCAGTTATTGTATTTATACTTCAACCTCTACTTCACCTCTACTTCTACTTCTACCATCAATCTGTTACAACTATGGCTGACAAAACAAGATCGGCTAGGGAGAAGAAGGAAACTGCCTCTCTCATTCAGGCAGTCATGACCGATATACTTCATGATGAGAAATTTATGCAGCTAGTCTCAGCACATGTTGACTCAAGTCTAGCTAGATTTCAAAAACAGATTGATGAGCAAGCGGCCATGATTCTACATCTTCAGGATGCTTCCACCGAGAGGGAGAGAAAGCTCGAGGAGTCAATAGGAAGGCAGGAGGCAAGGATCCTTGACCTTGAGCTTTCTGAAGAAAGAAATAGAAAAGAAATTAAGCTGCTGAAGGAAAGCCATGATGGCACGGGTCAACGATTCAGTCTGCTGAGAAGGGATGTGAACTCCCAAGAGCAATACAGTAGGAGAAACTCTCTCAGATTTTTTGGTATCCCCGAGGTTGAAGGGGTGCCTTCAGAGGATGTAATAGTTGATCTGGTGAACACCTCCCTTGGCGTTCACCTCCAGAAGGGGGACATAGACCATATTCAACGGGTGAATTCCGCTATTAAGCCTGGTCCAAAGGGTCCAAGCACCATAATTGTCAAGTTCCTGTCGTTCAAGAAGAGGAACGAGGTCCTCGGGAGTCGACGCAAGCTCGCGGGTACGAGAAAATCCATCCAGGAGGACCTCACGCGCGATAACGCCAAGCTCCTCAAGATGACCCGTGACCATCAACGGGTGAAAGCTGCTTGGACACGGGATGGTCGAGTCATCGCCTTGTTGCCAGCAACCGATGGCAAAGAAATGAAGAAAACCATCTTTTCTGAAGCGGACTTGGCCAGGCTCTAAATTCAACCTTTGTCTATAAATAACTTGATAGCTCTTGCCACATGATATTTAAAACATCTCTTTTTATTTACTACACTATTGGTACTGTTGTTGTTTTGTTTTTTTCTTCATATGAATTGTCTTTTTACTTATCTGCGCAATGTATCCTGTGCGCAGTTATATATATGTTTTCCATTCTGTTCTTTTTTGTCTTCCTTTCCCTGTTTATACCTTCCTTTTTCCTCTCCAACTTGCTGTCTCATATTCTATATGTCTCAAGTGTTTATCTTTCTAGTTGTATTTAAGTTAGCTAGCCGTTTCCTTATGTCTATGTTATCAGTACTCGTGTTTATCCTGTCACCTATCTTGACCGATCATGGCTCAAATAGATGACCATAATATTTGCAATTTTCTTGAAGCTAGCTTGAGTGATATCAGTGACAGCATTGAAAATATTTCTTTAAGATGTAATTATTCTACAGAACAACAGTTCTTTGAGTCAGTTAAAAATGCCACAGATAAAGAGCTTTCCCTTCTTCATTTTAATATCCGCAGCATGAGTAGAAATTTTGAACATGTGACATCATTTGTGAACAAAATCAGCTCAGGCTTAACTGCCATTGGTGTCACTGAAACTTGGTTCACCAATGAAAATGATGCAAATTTGTTTGTTATTCCAGGTTATAACTTGTTAAGCAATAGTAGAGTAGACAGACGTGGTGGTGGTGTTGCCCTTTATGTTCCGTCTGGGCTCGATTATCGAGTATGTCACGAGCTTAATGTTATGACTGAAAATCTAGAAGCTTTATTTGTTGAAGTCTTTATTTCTGGTAAAAATAATATCGTAATTGGAGTCGTGTACAGACCTCCCAATGGTATTTTGAACATTTTTTTGGACGAAATGCAGAGAGTTTTGGAAAGCCAGTCACTTAACGGTAAATCCTTATTTTTGGTTGGAGATTATAATATAAACCTTTTACAGCACAATGTTGATGCTCATGTTGATGATTTCCTGAATTTGATGTTGTCGTTTTCTTTGTTGCCCTTGATAACAAAACCAACAAGAGTAACTGAATCCTCTGCTACTCTAATTGACAATATCTTTAGTAACTTACAACCTTTTCCCTTATCTACTATTGTTGTGTCGGACTTGTCTGACCATTTTCCTGTGTATACTGTAATTCCTTTGGGAAAAAAACTTGTAGTCACCCATAAGAACATTTATGTTAGAAGAAACACCCCAGAAAATATTAATCAGTTTAGAGAGGCGTTATTGGCGACAAACTGGAGTGATGTTCTTTTGAATCAGTGTGATGAGAGTGCCTTCGATATTTTCATGAATAGGTTTTTATTGTTGTATGATGCTAATATTCCAGTAGTAAAGAGTAAAAACAACCGTAGAAGAACTCCACGTATGCCGTGGGTCACCAATGCTATGCTGAAATCAATAAATAAGAAAAATGAGCTGTTTTATAAGTATAAGAAAGCAGGGACGGTAGCTCTAAAAAGGAAATATTCCGTTTACAGAAATACTCTGACTTCTGTGCTGCGTGCAGCCAAAAAACAATACTATTTAGCACAGTTTAAAGCAACTTACAATAATATCAAGGGCACGTGGAAGGTGATAAGAAATGTATTTCAAAAAGCATCTAAAGTAACAAGTATAATACAAATGAATATAGATGACCAAATGGTTGAAGATAAAAATATTATAGTGGAAAAGTTTAATGAATATTTTTGTAATATTGGTCCGAATCTGAAAAAAAATATTCCTAACAGTCAAACTGATTTTCATGATTACTTAGTAGAACCTAACATGCAAAGTTTATTTCTGGTGCCCACAAATGAAGAAGAATTGCTTGGTATTGTTAGAGCCCTCAAGAACAAGAAAAGTCCTGGGTATGATCATATTGGGAACGAACTTATTAAGCAAGTTATTGTCGGTATCCTTCAACCACTAGTTCATATTTTTAATTTGTCTATGTCAAGCGGAGTTGTACCGATAAACATGAAGATCGCAAAAGTTGTACCAATTTTTAAAAAAGGTGACTCTCAATTACTGACAAATTATCGTCCGATTTCTTTGTTAACCTGTTTTTCAAAAATTCTGGAAAAAATTATTTATGTAAGAACTATAACATTTTTAAACAAAACATGTGTCTTCAGTAATTATCAGTTTGGTTTTCGGGAGAAGCATACAACAACACATGCAATCTTACACCTTATAGATAAACTTGCTTCTGCCTTAGATAGTCGCTTACACACCATTGGTACATTTTTAGACTTTTCCAAGGCCTTTGATACTGTAGACCATGAAATTCTCTTAAGTAAATTATGTCATTATGGTGTCAGGGGAGTCGCCTTGGATTGGTTTAGAAGTTATCTAACTGAAAGAAAGCAATATGTGTCCTTAAATGGAATTGACTCTAGTCCCCAAAAAGTAACATGTGGTGTTCCCCAGGGATCCATTTTGGGACCACTTTTATTCATTTTGTATATTAATGATTTTCAACGCTCATCAAGTGTATTATCATTCATATTTTTTGCTGATGACTCAAGTGTATTTTTTTCTCATAGATGTCCACAAACATTGTTGAAAACTGTTAATGAAGAGTTTCGAAAAGTAATGAAGTGGATTAATGCTAATAAGTTATCCTTGAATCTTCAGAAAACTAATTATATACTGTTCAGTAATTCAGTTAATATTTTGCCAGGCGAAGTGGCATTCAATAATAACCCAATTGAGAGAGTAACTTCAACGAAATTTCTTGGAATATACATAGACGAGAAACTGAATTGGAAAACTCATGTGGACAAATTAAGTAAAGTGGTGTCAAAAAATACTGGTGTTATTTATAAGTTGAGATCATGTTTACCTCGAGAGGTATTGTTCATTTTGTACTCTACTCTTATTTTATCATATATCAATTATGGTATGTTGGCATGGGGCAAATCATCCAAAACTCAAATCCACAGGCTTTTTGTTGTGCAGAAGCGGGTTATTAGAATAATTTGTAAAGCAAATTATCGTGCACATACAAATCTACTTTATTATGAAAACAGTATTCTAAAACTAGAAGATCTATATTCAATGCAACTTGGAATGCTCATGTTTAGCATTCACTCTGGAGACCTCCCTCCTGCCCTTGCTCAAATCTTTAGAAGAAATAACCAAATTCACAGCTATAATACTAGACAGGCTTCTGCTCTCCATTTACCATATGCAAGGACAACCTTCACTTTGAATACACTAATGTCCACTGGCCCCAGGTTCTGGAATTCACTTGATACTACCATAACAAATGCTTCAAGTATCTCAGTTTTTAAACGTAGACTTAAGTCATATTTTCTTGACAAGTATGTCGATGACACATGAATGTGTTATCAAGCTTTATTGTTAGTGTACTGTAGCATATTTAACTCTACTCTTGATCTTTTTTTCGTTAATTCTTGACTTTGACATATAACCCCCTTTATCCCTTTTCTTTTTTCTTCTTCTTTCTCATCTGTACATACTACATATACCATATATTCCTACTTGACCTCTGCACTCAGAGAGCAATAACTCATTGATGTCTCGACTTGGTGTCGGCTTGGGTTTGTCCATATTAGATCATATTAGATGCAACGTTGGGTAGTTGTTCTCTGAGAGTATTTTGTAAATAGTTTTATATATTCCATATTTGTTGTTGTATTCATAAATAAGTTATCTTTGTCACATCATATGAGGGGGCCTTAACTTAACAAGCTGTGCTTCAACCAAGGTCTCCTCGTCTTCCTTTGTTCTACATTGTACTGTTATGATTATACTCTATTATATTTTGTCACATGTGTTTTCTGGAAGACAAATAAACTTGAAACTTGAAACTTGAATGAAAGGTGAGAGAGATCGGTGTCTATACATGTAAGTACGTTAAGTGCACGCGCAAACGTTGAAGGTTGTCTGCTGTACTTGTCGAGCTGGCGTCATACGTAAACGTGGGAGTGGATGTCCTGAAATAGTGTCTACCATCTGTACTTGTAACTTGTAAGGCTATTTATTACACATTCATTAAGAGATTCTAAATTAGTCAATGCCGAAGTCCTTTCTCACTCGCCAATAATGTCATTCTTTCAGTCGATAAGTCCAAATCTTAATCATGCAGTCCCATATGATGATAATTTTGTGTGCATGAAGCTAAGAATTTAGTGTAGCAGTGCAACGCAGACCCTATCCTGACTGTGTACAGACATAGACTAGGTCTATAGCTGCATTACTATCCTGGCTAGCTGTGTATTACCGGTAAAAGCCGTTTTTATCGATTCTCTACATTTCAAACACCACTGTATAGTGTACACAACCGATTTCACTCAAAATCGGTACTTTAATTGGGTCTAGATCTAGTCTAGATTACTACAATTGGATCTAGATCTAGATCTAGGGTCTACATCTAGACTAGATCTACATCTAGTGACAATAATTGATGACATGCACCTAAATTAGAGTCTAGCAGTAGACTCTAATACAATTTGTTCAACTTACCGAAGTATTAGAAAGAATAATTTAAAAATTCAATTAATGAATCTACTTATCTAGCCCTAGTCTAGGGTCTACTGTCAAACTTGCTGATCAGCCACATCGTCTTTCTTTGCGTGCATTTGTGTGTTAGGTCTATGTGTGTATTGACTATCATGAGTGCAATTCTTCTGCCTTTCAACATGTAGTGCAGTACCACTCCAGCAAAGCATGGATCTAGAGAGGCCATGCTAATGTGTATGGTGCAGTGCTAGACTCCTACTAGAGGTCAATACGCATTACTTAGCATTGACTCTATGCTTTGCTGGAGTGGCTGTGTACTATTAAAACCTGTTCTATTTTATTGTTCTCAACATTTTCAAACAACTCCACTGATTTCACTCAAAATCGGTGCTTAATTAAGTGACAATTGGTGACACCTAAATTATAAATAGCCGTAAAATGCAACTTTTTTCAACTCTAAGTTAGATGTGTGCATGTTCTCTTGAGCCAATAAAACAGCCAGGTCTCTCAAAGCAGTCAATAACTCAATTCTAATGCACACAATGAAACCGATGTGGCGCTGATCAGCAAATTTGACAATAGACTTACAATTTGAATTTTTATGCCTCCGCCACCGAAGGTGGTGCCGGAGGCATCATGTTTTCGGGTTGTCCGTCCGTACGTCCGTCCCGTTTGACCGTTATCACAATATCTCAAGAACCATTTAAGATTTAAACTTAAGACTCGGGAATAGTATTTATCACCATAGGAAGACGATCTGATTAGATTTTGGAGTACGTAGGTCACAGGTCAAAGAGGTCAACTTATGAAATTCCTTATATTGAGTTTGTTAGCGCGATATCTCAAGAACCATTGGAGATTTAAACTTCAAACTTAGTGATAGTGTGTATCACTATAGGAAAACAATCTGATTACATTTTGAAGCACGTAGGTCAAAGGTCAAGGGTCATAGAGGTCAACTTATGAAATTCCATACATTGAGATTGTTATCATGATATCTCAAGAACCACTGGAGATGTAAAAACTTCAAACTTAAGGATAGTATGTATCACCATAGGAAGACGATCTGATTAGATTTTGGAGCACGTAGGTCAAAGGTCAAGGGTCACAGAGGTCAAGTTGTGAAATTCCATACATTGAGATTGTTATCATAATATCTCAAGAACCACTGGAGATTTAAACTTCAAACTTAATGATAGTGTGTATCACCATAGGAAGACAATCTGATTAGATTTTGGAGCACGTAGGTCAAAGGTCAAGGGTCACAGAGGTCAACTTATGAAATTCCATACATTGAGATTGTTATCATGATATCTCAAGAACCACTGGAGATTTAAACTCCAAACTTGTTTAAATTGCTCTATGGCGGAGGCATCATTTTCGACTGCGCGCAGTCAAAATTCCATCTAGTTAAATTATTCTTTTTAACATTGATCAGTAAGTTGAAAAAATTGTATTTTACTGCTATTTAGGTGTCATCAATTGTCACTACCGATTTTAAGTGAAATCAGTTGAGTTTTGTACAGTGGTGCTGGAAATGTTGAGAATCAATAAAACAGCTTTTAAAACTCAGCCAGGATAGTAATGCAGCTATACATGTATGTGTGGGTGCATGCAGGACCATCCCATCGCATTACCGGCGATAGCCTGGCGCAGATAAACTTTAAAATGTCTGATGTTCATTCAAACATTTAATATACATTTCTTGTGGTACATTTTCGATGTCGCAAGTAGGCCTATTGTGAAAATATCGTGAAATAAAAGCCAGCTCTTTGTTTGTTATAATGATTAATAGCCCGGCAGGTCAGGCTTAATTATCCCAAAAATGTTTTGCCAATTTGCTCTTTTAATTACTTTTTAGTTTATTTTTAGTTTCATCAATTAGAGTGAAAGTTTTAGATTTGATGCTTGCCATGGGTATAATGTTATTTATGTTGTGAAGATTTGTAGGATGCACCATCATCATCAATTTGTGTCTTTTTCACACCTCACATGTAACAATTCATTGGGCCATTCCTAGTAGCTCGGCAGGCTTATCCCAAAAATATTTTGCTCTTTTATCAGACAGTTTTAGATTTGATGGTTGCTAGTATGGGTACATGTATATGTTATTTATGTTGTGAACGTTGGTAAGATGAACTAGTGCTGTAAGTCAGACGCTATGTTCGTGTTCGGTTCGGTTCGGCAGAGTTCGGCAATTTTTCACCCGAACTTGGTTCGGTTCGGGGTTCGGTAGAAATAGCAAGCAGCGTTATAGCCACGGCGGTCGGCACTGGGCGGGCTGGCCGCCCTGCCAAGGGCCGACCAGCACGGAGGACTTCTGCACACTGCTTCCGACTAGCACGAATTTCACATTAAAAAACTGCTCTAAACGTAATTATTTGTGAAGAAAAATACTACTTACATTCGTATTTACGTCTTGAATCGTGTTTTATTTTCAATTTTAAAAGAATCATGTTTTCAATTCGTCGATAAATGATATTTTTTAAAGATTTTCCGAGACGGTTCTTGTCTAATTTTAGAGTCATGAAAGCTGCTATCTTTAATAATAGAGACTCAGGCTCGTCAATAACTGTTTTTTATAAGTTTTTATTTTCAATAGGAAAAATATAAAAGCCCTATTTTTCCTAAATAAATAAATACCATACTATGATATATATTTATTTCATTATTTATATTGTAAAATTTGTCCGATATGGTTACAATTTTTTTTTTTTTGAATGGGTTTGAGCTGAACTTGTTTTGATCACGCACATGTATTCTTGTTTATGGCTTGCGATCGCGACGTAGCGTGGTTAGGATTTGGGATTTAAATGGTGCCAGTGAAGTTGCGCCCACCACTGGATAGGCATAAATCACAAAGGCGGAAAATGGGAAAAAAGTAAATATAAAATGAGCAATCATGACATGAAAATTAGATACAAAATGACAAGTTTATTAGCTTGCAAAATGGTTTACATTTTTCTGCCGAACATCTGAACCAGGCCTTTGCGTTCGGTTCGGTTCGGTTCGGTTCGGAAGTGCCATGTTCGGCGAACTTCCGTTCGGTTCGGCGGTTCGGCTACAGCACTAAGATGAACCATCATCATCATCAATTTGTGTCTTTTTTTCACACCTCAAAGGTAACAAGACCCTTCCTGGTTCTGCAATGAATATGATGGATAAGCATCAGAGGAGCAAGAAAGAAGATTCAAAGGGAGGGGAGAAGAAAAGTCGTCGCAAGTTGTACACCCAACCCCATGAGCCCCAAATTCCTTTTGCAAATGGTCAAGATGTCTCTGGGTCGATGAGGTCAGCAGGAGTGAAGGAAGCTAGCTGTAGCTCCTCGGCTGAACAAGCGTTGAGTAAAAAGAAGCAAGGGTCCACTAGGAAGTATGTTAAGGATGAAGACGATGTCTTGGGGAGCGATCGCGATGTCTTCGTCAAACCTCATATGTCGCCAAGGAGAATATTCTATGGAGCGAAGCCCAGTTCAGCTGAGAAAAAACGACGTCATACAATCTCCATGACAAGAGATATGAAGAAGCTTGAGGAGGCTATTGATCTGAAGCAACGAAGAAAGAAAAATAAGAAAAATGGAAACATCAAAGCACAGACAGATTGCAGTCCTTTCAAGGTACCTCTCAAAAAAATGGGAGGAAAGGAATCGGTTGACAGAGCAGGATGTCAAAGAAAGAAGTTGAACAAATTGAGTTGTAGAAAGAGGCACAACAACTTGGAAGAGGGAGAGACCTGTATGCAAGATGAAGCATTGACAATGACATCCAAGCGGAAAGAAGATGGACATTCCTCACATGCATCCAATCATGGCATGTTAGGAAAACATGGAGTTAAACCAGACAAGGGCTTTGAAAGTTTGGATGAATTGTACAACCCAAGTCAGGAACTCTTCACTGATACTGAGTCTGGAAATGAGACAGACACTCAAGCCAGCGTGCAGAGAACAGTATCGAGATTCCTCAGTTCCCAGGAAGCTCAGAATGACTTCAGGGCACCCGACTCCACCATGGTCCAAAGATCTTCCCTTTCTGCGGGTGCCGGTGACACAGAGTCAGACGTCAGTGAGAGCTCGGATGATGGTGAAGCAAATGAGACTGCCCTTGAGAAGGAGATACATAGCTTCTTCAAGAATGAGAAACAACAGTCTCCAAGAGGTCACAGAGAAGTTGTCCTTCCATCGGAAGTGTCACTGACTCCTATCCAACAGGGAACGGTTGATGGAATATCTGATGAAAGTGAGGTCATTTGTGCAGGACAAAAGATGCAGTCACATAATGAGCGTGATGATGTTATGGATAAAGATACTAATCATAGTACCCCAGACAGCATTGGTGAGCTTGAAGATGCTCAAAGACTCTCTGACGATTCTTCAAGTACCTGCAGCCAAGATGTGGCAGTAAGTAAAATTGTGTTAGGGCAAGATGATAGGGATAATAATAACAGTGGAGATATTGTTCCTAGAGGAAAGAAGTCACAGAACCAGAAACAGATTACTTCACAGAAATATGGGTCACAAACAAACCAGGACGTTGAAATGGCTGCCACAAGTGAGGACTCAGAAAACTCATCGTCGAGTGATATCGAAGTAGGAGAATCAAGTGATAGGAGTCGCACGCCATTCCACTCCACTCCTGCAGAACCTTCTCATTGTCCTCAATTGCCAAAAGAGCAAGCACACAGTGCAGTATCCCCATCTCTACCAGTGACAGAAATAGGAAAGCAGATGTTTAGGTTGTACTGCCACAGGAATACCACTCCCCGAATTCTGGAAGCCCTCAGGGCCTGCGGTAGCATCGATGGCAATACTCTGGCATCAGCAACTGTCGATAATGGGCCGACATGTAGGCCTATTGAGATGATACATGGCAAGATCTTTGAAGGGGCAGCTGAAAGGACATCATCTGAAGTATCACTCGATCTCTTTGAGGACAACTCTAATGGCATTGATGGGGATGTGGAGAAAAAGAAGGATGAACAGTTGACCAAGCCAGCAAGTCTGGATAGTGCTATTAAGAGAAAGAGATCAGGTAATTCACCATATATCACCATACCCTGCCACCATCATAATCTATTTGCTAGTCAGCTAATTGCATGCTCTTCTTTGTATTCAATTTTGCATTCAATTTTGCATGATTACTTTTACACAGTGTAATGTTCTGTGTCTCTCTTGTTAATAAGCGAGTTCGTAAATAGCTCTGGACCGCTTGACCCCAAATTATCCACAGATCTTAGACACGATGGATACTTCCCACCTGTGCATTATAGAATAATCACTGCCAAAGTGATGGAGGTGCTTCATAAATATCTTTTGTTTGCCTCTTGCCTCAATTATTAATTTCTATACTCTCTCTCTCTCTCTCTCTCTCTCTCTCTCTCTCTCTCTCTCTATCTCAGTCTCTCTACCCTTCCCCTTCCATACTCTCTTTCACCTCGATTGTTTATCTCTTTTTTTGTATAAAATACACAGATGAAATCTTTAGGTATTTCATTAATCCCAATGTTTGAAATTTGTATCTCTCAGCTCTTTAACATTTCAATAATTTCAATTTCATTTTGATTGCATCATTCCAATAAACCTGTTTGTCCTGTATATTTTACCCCTTATTTGCATATTTGTATATTCATATTTGTCAAATAAATCACATTTAATGGATTTTTTTAATTTGTATATTCCCTACAAGCCAATAACGTTTTTTCTTTTTTTTTCTCTCTTCTCTTCTTCGTCTCCTCTCTCTCACTCCCCCCTCACTCACCCTATCTCTCCCCGCTCTGTTTCTCTCTCTCTCTCTCTCTCTCTCTCTCTCTCTTTTTCTCTCTCTTTCTCTCTTTTGTTTGTCATATATAGCCAAAGATGATACAGAGACCAAACCAAAGAAGTCAAAGAAGAACAAGAAAAAAAGGAAAGTGACAGCTAAGCCAGGAGATAAAACTTTTAAAACTAGACTTAAAGTCATCAATGGACCAATCAAAGGAGATGCAAGAAAGAAAAATGGTATTTACTGTTTATTATTTATGTCTTGTGTCTAGCGCAGTGGCTATTAGATACATCAAGATGAGTATAGATGAGCCCCATAACACGCTCTGTTTCTCTCTCTCTCTCTCTCTCTCTCTCTCTCTCTCTCTCTCTCTTTCTCTCTTTTGTTTGTCATATATAGCCAAAGATGATGCAAAGACCAAACCAAAGAAGTCAAAGAAGAACAAGAAAAAAAGGAAAGTGACAGCTAAGCCAGGAGATAATACTTTTAAAACTAGACTTAAAGTCATCAATGGACCAATCAAAGGAGATGCAAGAAAGAAAAATGGTATTTACTGTTTATTATTTATGTCTTGTGTCTACCGCAGTGGCTAAAACATCAAGATGAGTATAGGGCCCCCATAACACAAAGCTTAAAGGAAGTGTAGCTTGGCAAATACTGGTTAACGCCATCTACGTCTTTTGGACAACTGCACGTATTAAACGAATGGACTTGAATAACGGTAGACAGCGACTTAATCTCTACATGGCCACGGGAAAGACACGTAGTCTCGTCAGGCTACTCTCCCTTTAACAATTGATTGTGGGACTGATTGATCAAACGTACATCAATTGACTGAGTTATGGTCAATTGCTGACATATCTTTTTGTTAGAGGGCCCTGGGGGGGGGGGGGATGTTTCACAGAGACTGAGATCGACTTAAGTTGGACTTGAACTATGGCAGGCCATTCATGCCATTAGTTCCTCTAACCATTCCTGGCATTCGTTTCTCAAAGGACATATTGTGGTCACAAATCTTCAGAATTTTTTCTTCAACATTGAAATATCAAACGTAATTTCTGTAGATTTGTGACGTCCCTTGCATACAATTAACATGTGAGCAAACATTTTGTTTTTGTGGAAATCAAATCAATAACTTTGGGTTGCTATAACTTTTTATTGAAATGAGATATAAACCTCTTTTTTACACAGGATATTTTCCTTGTACATGGGAGAATTCCTAAAAAGTTACAAAAAAATTCACCTCTCTGATTTTGATATGGAAAATAATGTTTTTTGGTAAAATTCGATATTTTGAAAAAAATCATGTTTTTACTGAAATTTGCGATTTGTTAATCAATCCCAAATTCGTTAAAATTGGTATTAAATGTAGGTAATTTCATTCTCTTTCATATGACACCAAACTTACGGTGGTTCAAGGTTTCCTTAAAATATTATTAACAAATACCTTTTTTCGTCCAAAGGGCCGCTTTTTTGGACACCCCCTCCGATCTAGGGGTGTTCACAACAAATTGAAAAAAAATACCTCTGAAATATTGTGTATCATGATAAAATCTTTCAAATAAACAATGTGTGCTTAGTTTATGCGGTAGTGGCAGGCAACTCAAAAACTAAGCATGATATTTGACTTTGGCCCTCCGCTTATATGGTGATTTTAAAGCTCATATAAAAAGAGAACGAGAACAATTATTTTAGACCTTTACCAGGGCTTGACCTTCTCTTTCAGAAAAAAAGAGTGCTTTGCTCAGAGGGTATTGATTGTTGGACACAGATGAAGAAGTAGATACCAGAATTTCCAAGTTGATTTGTGAAAGGATCATTAAGAAAAATAATTGCTCTCAAGTGGTTGATTGTCAAACTTACCTCATCACCCTATGGGCCATTCCATGAGAAGAAGGACATGACATAAAAAAAAGAAATGTACCTCTTATGTTAATTCTTTGATTTATCACTAACCTTATGCCATGGATGTTCATAAAACATTAGGGCCTTTCAAATTCAATACAATTTAGTTTTCATTTTTGTTGATTTCCTAAGATCTCAAACCATCATCAAAAACGCACATGTGGGACTGTAGATGAAAAAAAAACAATTTATTGCAGATTACACAGGATTCTTGTAATATTTTTTCCTGAAAATTTCGCTAAATGGAAAAGATGAATATATTTCCATATTCTAAGGGGTCCTGTGATATTTGATCTATTACATAGGGGTGAAAATGGCCTCCGGACAAAATGTAACGCGAGTTACCGTAACGTGAGTTACCGACATATTTGCTTCCTGCATTTTACTAGTCTATTCTTTCTTATCTTTAATATTGTGATCTTATACTAGTAAGTCACAACCTACTATCAAATTAAAGTAGGAAAGATTTTGTCAAGATTGTCTAGTATGAGGAGAAAAGAGGGTCTCATAGGATTGACCATGTCCTTTTTTTGTAACGCGAGTTACCGAAATTCAATAATCCAAGAATCTAAAAATGTTTGTTCTTCAATTTTCTTTTTTGTTTCATTCAGTTGTTCTATATCTACCCTGTCCATGTTTGAAAAAAGTATCTTGTAGATCCTAGCAGTTCTTAAGACATAGGCACATTATCGTGTCAATGTACCCATTAAGTGTAACGCGAGTTACCATGGAATGGCCCCTATTCAAAAGGGTTCGATTGCAGAGTTTCTATTATAAAAGCTCGCTTCGATTTAGATGTCAGGGTCAAGTGGTTTAAAGATACTATGGCCCTTTTGCTGCCAACATAAAATTCTGTAGAATGTTGCCAGAATTGTGAATATGTCATCTACAGTGTATGTCATATCTCTGAAATTTAAACATTAGCAGTGTCCTGTAGTATTCAAATTATGCAAGGAAAGCCGTTTACCTTCTAGACTTCACTGTCATACTATTGGGTGACTGACTGACATCTTTTTTTGGGGGGTAATAACATACATAAAATGAGCTGTAACGGGTACATGAGCATAATTTGTCTCCATCAATAACCCACTACTTGTAATGGCTAAAATCAAACTAATTGAATCTTTGCGCATTACAAAACTTACGACCATTTGATACAAGGGTCTGAAAATCAGACTATTACTAAGGTGATTACAATCACTTATGTCAATTCGACAACTAATGGTAGTTATTTTTCAACAAAAAGCTTTTTTCAAACTCTTTTATTTTGAGGGAAGCTCTAAATAGGTATTGTTTTTCAAATGCCATTGGAATTTAACCTTTTCATTTTTTGACTTGTAAATGGGACTAATTACCTTATGAAGCAAGGCATTTTATCTTAATTGCTTCTTTTTGTTTATGTGTATAAATGGGTCCCGGATAGGAATACATGCAAACGTTAATGTGGTTGGATTGGCATACCTGTATGTGCTCTTGTAAAATGGCTCCTGGCCAGAATAATCCCCAGGCTGTGGAGCATGTGCTCTTTCGTGTGTGGATTAGCAAATGAATCCAATGACCAGGGTAATAATAAATACAATCTAAAGCGTGTACAGTAGCAACTAGTATGAACTAATTAAAGGGCAATTCCAAACCAAAAATAACTTACTTTCAATATACATTGTATATCAATATAATATAATGATATCAGTATAAAGAAAACAATTTGTGGATAGTGAGGCAATGATGTCAAAGACTCATGAGTGAGTTGCCAATATGTCTTGTGATTTTCAAAGTTTTTCATGTCATTGAAAATTCATAACTTTCTTATAAGTTGTCCGATTTTGCTCAAACTTTTTTTGATTGGTTTGTTTGATTTTTCTGCTTCTATTGAAAGTAAGTTATTTTTGGAGTGGTCTTGCCCTTTTAATGCGTTACAAATGTCAAAAATAATTATATTATGTTCTTGCAGTTCATCAAGTTTTTAACAGGATTGTTTTGTAGCCTCCAAAAGGTTTTATTTTTAGCTTTCAAGAACTAAAATGCTCACAGCTCTGGTATGTGTTTTTTCTTCCTGAGTTTCGACTGTTTCAAGGTAAAGACCAGTTTTGGAAAGTCCCCCTCTCAAAAAGTGAAATGGAAGCTCTTATTACCAATCATGTGAAAGAATACGTTTTGGCTAATATACAGTACCAATTTTGCCGGGGAAACCGCCTACAATCCGCCTACTAATTGATATATTTGGTAAATTATTATATCTGTTTGGACCTGATAGATATCGCGCACGTGTCACGCACGTGACGCGTAGTCCCATATACATCTGTCTGTGTACAGTGCTTGTAACTTCACCAAGACTGGGCCAAATTTCTTATCATTTTGTGATTCCAGAACCTTACAGTACACACCAATACTTATATGCTAGATCATCAACCTTTTCTGATCGATTCCACAACGTTTCACACACAATGCAATCGCATGACCAGAACTGATCTTTACCTTTAATTTTTTTTTTCTTTTCTCCAGAGTACAGATGGAAGCGAGAAATGAGAGAACAGTCAAAGTGCCCTTGGAGTCCTATCACTTTGGAACCATCTTTGGAGTCTGACCTTGGCGTGCTACGATGTCTCAAGGCAGCAGCTAGGGCAGTACTGAATCAACGAGTAACTCACCTAGACAGGTACATGCATGATATTAATACTATATGCTGTGGAGTTCAGTATAGCAATAAAATATACCATGCACCGAGAGGCTCTGGTCGAAATTATGGACTATTGGAGATGAAGGACATTATAGCACTATGCCAGTCACTGTTTATCCATAATTTGACCAGGACCTCAAAAAGAGTACATTGTATATTTGAATTAAATTCTTCATCAAAAAATAAAAAACTGAAAATGTACTTTACAAAGAATGACTTCTGAAAATAAATATCTTACTTGCACCTTTGTCCAAAGTACACACATGCTACGCTTGCGATGAGCACTGCGCATGTCATATTGCTTGTAGTGGCGATATCGCAATAGGCCTATTGCTATAGCTTTGAATGATGACTTCAGGGTATAACCAGGATATACCCCATATTGACGTCACGCAATGTCTTCTTTTTTTCTTCTTCATGTTGGAAGTATTTCATGGCCAATCCTTGCACTGCAATTATTTTTTGATGTTTGGTACAATGGTACATGTATAAAAGGAAAAGCTTCAATGAAATCATATAGTGCTGTAGCCGAACTGACGAACCGGATGGAAGTTCGTCGAACATGGCACTTCCGAACTGAGCCGAACTGAACCGAACGCAAGGGCCTGGTTCGGATGTTCGGCAGAAAAATGTAAACGTTTTCGCAAGCTAATTAACCTGTGATTTTGTACCTACCTTTCATTTACTTTTTTCCCATTTTCCTCCTATGTGATTTATGCCTGTCTAGTGGTGGGCGCAACTTCACTGATGCCATTTTAATCCCAAATCCTGACCTCTGCAACGTCGCGATCGCAAGCTATAAACATGAATACACGTGCGTACGAGGCGCTGATCAAAACAAGTTCGGCTCATACCCAATCAATTAAAAAAATATGAATTTTATTTGTAACAATATCAGACAAATTTTAATGTAAATAATGAAATTAATATAATATATATTACAGTATATTTATTTATTTATTCAGGAAAATTTGGAATTTGTTTATTTACCCTATTAAAAATAAACATTTATAAGAATAGTAATCGAACGAGCCTGGGCTGCTATCTCTGTGTATTATAACATTTACATCGGTAAATTCAATATGGCAGCTTCCATGACTCGTAACATTAGACAACAACCATCTCGGCAAATCTTTAAAAAATATCTTTTATTGTCAAATTGAAAACATGATTCTTGTAAAATTGCATATAAAACACGATTAAAGACAGAAATATGAATGTATGTACTACTTTTCTTCACAAAGAGTAACGTTTAAAGCAGTTTTTTATGTGAAATTTGTGCCAGTCGGAAGCAGTGTTTTTCATCAGGAGTGGTGGGCAAAAGTCCTCCTTGCTGGTCGTGCCTGTCCGGCCGCGTCTTTTTTTAAACCTAACCTTGTCAAGCTGCTATGCATATTAATATTTGAATATATGAATATTTGCGTGGGTACGGTGTGTTGGAGATCAAAATTAAATTGGCCAGATTCTCGACTAAACCAGTATGTCGCAATAATAATGGACAACTTATGACCTGGGTAGTCGTTTGTTTACGGTAAGCCACCCAATTTTCTTGTAATGTCATTCATTTTAACTAAAAATAGCTTTGCACTTGTAATAATTGTATGAAATCTCATTATTTGATAAATTATCGCATCGGATCCTGTGTGCGTGCGTATCATGAATATTTATGACTAGCGCATGACGTATAGTTCCTATTGAGCCAATCAAATGCAGCGATAGGATGGCAAGGTTAGGTTAAAAAAAAGCTGCCGCTCGGCCCGAATATTTTTTATTTACATGCTAGCGAGGGGAATTTCTCGATTAATTCCAATGAAACAGCTCGCGAAGAGTCTAGACTGCATCGGAGAGCTCGCTAGTGCTAGTGTGAATTTACATCGAGGACAAAATTTGCTTAACTTTTTCTTGAAACACTTGAGTGGTTATGGAACCTGTCTGTATTTCTAATCTTCAAATATTAATATTATTCTGCATCAAATATAAAATATTTGATTTCTTCTGTGGTATGTAAAGGCATGAACTTATGTTAATACATATCACCATAGCCATTGTAAAATCATATATTGATTCAAACAATTTTATTTCTCATGCAATAGAGAAAAGAGGAACTAACTAGAAGCAGAGCTTGTTGAAGTGTTAGTTCCTCAGTTGCTGTTTTACAATATAACATGAACAAAGTATGCTTGGAAAATCAATAAATAGAAAAAGTATGTAGCTAAGAAATTATAGCTTTTTGGGGAAAAAAATAAAAGAGAGGAGAAAATGGAGGAAAATAGTAGAAGGCAAAAAGAAAGAAAGGTACAAAAAGGGAAAATAAATGATTGCACAAAGCTCTAGAAAAAGGAGGTTAGATCAGTAGAAAGTGGGAGAAAGAGATTGAGTCGAGAGTCAAACAAACCGATACATGTAAAATGATACATGTAAAATATAGATTGAAGCAATTCTCGTCAATTGGCTGTAACCTGAGTGTGATTTATATAATGGATTTTGAGTAATATTTGCATCTACCTGTAGTTGAAGAATAGATACAGTGCATAAACTGGAATATATGGAGATGTGGAGAAATCAATTGGAAGGAAGTAACGAGGAATATTTTAAGCAAGGGAGACTGGGAGATGAGGAAAGCAAGAAGTTATTGAAATTGCGAGATGACTCGTGAGATAGCCTTGCATTAATGAATCCTTTATATAATGTTGTCTTGAGAGAAAGTAGACAATTTTTTTTTAAATTGGAGATTAGTGTAAGTATTAGAAATATCGGAAATAGAATTAATGCGAAAGTTTTTTTTTTTTTAAATCGAGATCAATACATGTAATTAGATGGGGGGGGGGGGAATCTCCAACTGGCATTTATGTGCGATGTCACACGTACGCGTAACGCATGTCACACAAAGAAAAATGAGAAGAAAAGAGAGTATAATGTAAAAGAGAAGAGGATAGAGGATAGATTAGAGGAAAAGGAGAGAGACAGAGGGAGAGAGAGAGAGAGAGAGAGAGAGAAAGAAAGAAAGAAAAAAGGAAGAACATGACACTTAAATTTACACTTAGGCCTACAGATTACATTTTCAACTGATTTGGCTTGACATGTGCCTAAGAAGTCTGCGGACGAAAGTACAACAATACGAAAACAGAAGTTATATAAAATTGTCTTTAAGAGAGAAAGAGAGGTTACTGGTACCTATTTCTAAAATGAAATGAAAGGGGCTATGTGACTTTCAAGGAGGAAATTACAATTTCTGTAGCTCATGACGACTATTTAGAATTTCCTAATTTTTTTAAAATTCAAGACTCCTGGCATAGGCAAATTATTTACCCAATTTCTTGCCGTCTGCTGCCTCGAGATCACTGGAGCGAAGAAAGGTAACAATTTATAGCAAGAATCCCTACCGGTATTCAGTGAAGGATTTATCCTTTTTATTATTATGTTGTGTCCAGCACTAAGGGTTTGTTCCACTACTTGCTGCCTAATCTGAGGGCTCTTTGTGCTCTTCAAGGGATGTATTAGAGCGGTAAAAACTCTAATCCACCCTTGAAGTTTAAATTGCACTGCCCCTATTCAGTGTGCTCTTTTCAAAGAGCACCACAAGCCCTCAGATTGAGCATTCCATCTCATAAAATTGTCTTGAAGAGAGAAAGAGAGGTTACATTGTATTTCTAAAATGAAATGAAAGGGCTATTTGACAAGAGCCCTTTCATTTCATTTTAGAAATAACCTCTCTTTCTCTCTTCAAGACAATTTTCTCTCTTGAATGTCAAATAGCCCTTTCATTTCATTTGAGAAATAATCTCTTTTTCTCTCCTTAAAGCAATTTCTCTCTCGAAAAGGCTCTGCCAGGCCCCTCAAGCATAAAAACAATACAGCAATCAAAATAATTAAGACAGTGTCCTTAAAATAGGGTCAAGCTATGTTCACATATTGCACTGAGAGATATAGCAAAAAAGGAGAAAAGGAGATAGATAAGAGGGAATCGAGAGGAGGATAGTAGAAAGAATGAAGTAAAAGGTAAACAGGTAACCATGGGAGACTGAGAAGAGGGAGGGGGGGGGGGGGGGGTGGAGAAAGAGAGAGAGAGAGAGAGAGAGAATTAGAGGAAGTATAATTACTGTGTATGCAAAATTACAGTTCATAGTGTCACATTTACTGTCATTCATACAGAATAAAACAGTACAATCAATGAAGTTATACTTTTATGGGAATGGGAATGCGCATGCGGAAATTGTGAGTAATGCGTATACTATCAAAATATCGCACTAAAGATTTATACATACTATATTTCAAAACCAGACTTTGAACACGTAATGTGTGAACTGCAGTAATGGTATCTTACTGAAGAAGGTAAAAGATAAATTCAATCAGACAAGGGAGGAATCGAAATGAAAGAAGGAAAGAAAAAGGCAAGTGAGAGAGAGAGAGAGAGGGGGGGGGGGGGGGTCAAAGGTCATGGGGTCATTATATATGCAAAAATAGCCTGTGATCGCATTATCATAAGAACCGATGGACGGATTACCATCAAAGTCAGGACATGTATCTATCTTGCAAAGCAATGAAATGAATAGCTTTGGAGGTCATGAGGTCAAAGGTCATGGGGGTCATTATATATGCAAAAATAGCCTGTGATCGCATTATCATTAGAACCGATGGACGGATTACCATCAAACTCTGGACATGTATGTATCTTGCAAAGCCAATGAACTGAATAGATTTGTGGGGTCATGAGGTTAAAGGTCATTGGGCTCGTTCACATCCAAAATCAGCATGATATTAATGCTGATGATAGATACAGTTAACAACTAAATGATTATACCCCTTGTAAATTTGATGCTTTTTGTGTTTTTCATAAATCAAGAATGACAGATGGACTGGTTGAATTAGGGCTTCTGTTGAATACTTTCAAATGTAAGCTTTAATATGTCACATCTTTAAGAAACACAAAATTGGGACAAATCAATTTTTTTCTTACTTCAAAAGTCACAAAACTTGGTAAGGGTATGAATAATTTAGCTCACTGTAGATACAGTTCAGCTTTACATATGAGAAAGTACAACACACAGACTGATGTAGACAAGAAGTGAGTAGAGGAACTTGAATGTGAATATTTATATTTTGAGAATATGAGTGGATATGTGCAGTGCACCTTCAGTGCGATAATTCCAATGTCATTGATTGGCATGGTGTACTGTAAGTATCAGATCTCCAGGGACCCGTTTCACAAAGCTCTTTTTATGCCTCCGTTACGAAGTAACCGGAGGCATTATGTTTTCGGGTTGTCCGTCCGTACGTCCGTCCGTACGTCCCGTTCTCGTGATCGCGTTATCTGAAGAACCAATTGATGGATTCCTGCCAAACTTTGGTCATGTATGTATCTTACAGAGCCGATGAACTGAGTAGATTTTGGGGTCACGAGGTCAAAGGTCAAAGGTCACAGGGCTCATTATGTATGCAAAAACAGCTCGTGATCGCGTTATCTGAAGAACCGATTGATGGATTCCTGCCAAACTTTGGTCATGTATGTATCTTACAGAGCCGATGAACTGATTAGATTTTGGGGTCACGAGGTCAAAGGTCAAAGGTCACAGGGCTCATTATGTATGTAAAAACAGCTCGTGATCGCGTTATCTGAAGAACCGATCGATGGATTCCTGCCAAACTTTGGTCATGTATGTATCTTACAGAGCCGATGAACTGATTAGGTTTTGGGGTCACGAGGTCAAAGGTCAAAGGTCACAGGGCTCATTATGTATGCAAAAACAGCTTATGATCGCGTTATCTGAAGAACCAATAGATGGATTCCTGCCAAACTTAGGTCATGTTTGTTACTTGCAGAGCCGATGAACTGAGTAGATTTTGGGGTCATCAGGTCAAGGTCAAAGGTCATGCGGCTTATTATGTATTCAAAAATAGCTTGTGATCGCATTATCATTAGAACAGATTAATGGATTCCTGCCAAACTTAGTTTATGTATGTATCTTGCAGAGCCAATGAACTGAGTAGATTCTTGGATCATGAGGTCATAGGTCAAAGGTCATGGGCTCATAATGTATGCAAAAATAGCTTGTGAACGCATTCTCATTAGAACTGACAGAGGGATTACTATTTAACTCGGGACATCTTGCAGAGCCAATGAACTGAGTAGATTTTAGGGTCATGAGGTCAAAGATCAAAGGGTCATATATGTATATGAGAAATTGCTTGTAATCACGATATTCTGAGAACCTGTTAATGGATTACAATTGAACTTGAAATTGACAAATTTCTTCTGTTTTGGTTTGTTAAATTGCTCTATGACGGAGGCATCATTTCGACTGCGCGCAGTTGAAGTTCCATCTAGTTTCAATAACAAATGATAAAAATCAGTGACAAATCTGCTTATAACCAATCACAAGCAAGGATTTCAGTAGCTTATAACAAAAACTGTCATTTGTCACTGATGGCAAGTTTTGTGAAACAGGGCCCAGGTTACATTGCAATTTTGTTTGTTTCTCATGTCCTAGCAGGGATGCAAACCTAGAGGAAGAGGACCAGGACACTGGGACCTTCGTCAATCTTTTATCGTTTCCTGATGTGTTCATGACGAAGAAGAAAGACCAACCGTCCTTTCGCAAAGTACCACCAAGTGAAATACAAATTTTGCATGGGTTATAAGCACCAGTACAACTGTCTTTTTATGATTTTTAGTTGTCCTTGTAAGAATTCAGGGACCCGTTTCACAAAGCCTTTTTTCAATGACAAATGACTGAAATCAGTGACAAATCTGCTGATAACCAATCAGAAGCAAGGATTTCAGTAGCTTATAACTGAAACTGTCATTTGTCACTGATGACAAGTTTTGTGAAACGCCCCCTAGGTTGATGTGAATTTGATCAATACCTGAAAAGACTAAGAGTTTATCATTTCTAGCCAGTTAAAAAAGGGCAAAAAATACTCTATGTATCTGGGACACCCAGTAATTGCCACAGGAATGCATTCAGGGCCTGGCAAGTTATTTTCAGAGCATAGTTTAGACTTTTGTGTGTGTGTACAAAATAGCTCATTCTAGGTGATTTTCAGGCCCTCTGATCAATTCTAACTGGCATCCTTGTTGTCATACAAACAAGGATTTTGTGTGTGTGGAAAAGGAGGATTACGCTTCCTTGAATTTGAATAGGTTTCAAATAATGAAGTAGATGTGATTTTATATGTTTTGTAGATCATTTAATTATTATTTTAGATGATGCTGAAAAGACAGATTACATGTTCCTCTGGTGCTGTTTAATGATACATGTATAATAGAAGTGTATACAAGTAGATATTTTTGTAATGCTTTTTAATATATGAAGGAAAGAATCATGAATGAAAACGATTATATTTAACTGGAATTTACCATTTTAATTGTATGATTTTATTTTTTTGTCAACTTATTACAAAAATATAATAGGTGGTGAATGATTTGGTAAAAAGAAAGAAGAAAATAAATAATGGGAGGAAAAAGAATGTTCAGAAAGAAATTAGGAGAAAAGAGTAGTAGTGCACGTACAGAATGTCTGTCACACACTGAATACACTGCCTAACTTGAAAATCAAACTATTTACAACTCAAGAATTATAGACTTTCAAAGCTGGTAGGGGGCTTCGTTTTTTCACACAAAATAAGTAAATATTTTCAGCCAGGTATGTGTGAATTTTCAATTTTTACGAAAATATTTTACAATGTTTTTAAAAATATATACCACTTTCGAGTGCAGTGCCTTGTGCGTGTAGTGTCACCCCTGACAAAATTAAAAATGGACTTTCTTCATATGTTCCATTTAATGTAGACCGATGACCTTACCATACAGGTTAGCTGTGACCTTTCTCATGGACGTACATTGATATTAACGTTGCAGTATTTTTTCGTTTGGGAGATAGACCAAATCTACAAAATTTCAGAGAATGCTTCAAAAAGCGTTAAATAGTCATTGTTTTTTTGATAGCCACCAATTTTACATGCATGTAAAATTGGGAAAAGGTAATTTTTACCTTATTTTTCCATTATATGGCAGGTTTTTTTCCGGTGAATAATCAATATTGTTTTTGTTTTGTTTTCTCAAGAACCGCTTACTCGATCTTAAAAATGTTAGTAGCAATATAAAGGATTCAATGATATCTTTCATACAAAACCAAAATGTTGTTTGATGTATCCTTATTTTGGGGGTGCTCTACCTAATAGTTGGAACATGGGTTTGGAGGAAGAGAGAAGGACAGGAAAAACGATTTTTGGAAGCATAGAGGAGTTCATATACCAAAGTGAAGAGGATAAGAATGGAGAGTTGAGAGTGAAGAGGAAAATACAAGAAAGAGGACTTACAAGGAGTAAGGAGGGTGAGACAAGAAAGATGAGTTTGGGAAGTGAAACAAAGGGGAGAAAAGAAAGGATTCGGAAAGGAAGGAGCTAGGAGTGAAAGAGAAGAAGGTTAAAGAGAGGAGTTGCAGGAGGAAAGAGGGTATAACAAAATTTAAAAGGTGAAAAGACCATAGATTATAGTATGAAAGAGAAATTAAGGAACGAGAGTAAGAGGAGAATGAAAGAAAAGAACAGAAAAGGTAAGAGAAAAAAAATAAAGGCTGTTCAATATAGGGAAATTGGTTAAACAGCATCGAATGTAAAGAAAAGAAAATGTGACCACGGTAAACGATGGATTGTTTTTTTCTTCATCTGCAGTCTGAGGCTCTTTCCTGCTCGCCTCTGTTCTAGAAACCACTCGTTCTGTCTCATCTTTATTTCAACCTTTCTCTTTCCTATACACTATACATGCATCTCCCCCTTCCCAAACTCGCCTTACCCTTCCCCTTTTTCCTCCCTTTACATCCATCCTTCTTAATCTCTTTTATCTGTAATTCCTTCCAAATAGACTCTACAGAGGGATCAGACCGAAGTTCCAAATAACCCACCATTAGCCAGCTAATGTGCGTTTTCATCAGCCCGTAGATGCAATTAGCGGACTATTACCGTCCGCATAATGACTTTTTGGTAACCTCTCTCCAAATTGTTTTTAATCACTCATGCGTAAAATATACATCATAATTATGAGTTGCATCAAAAGAAAGAGGAGGATATAATAATTGTGATTAAGTTATGGTAAAACATCGATAATTCTCGGTTTCGTTTTTTTTGATAGGACGCACTATATTTGGGAAATATAGCGGGCTAATTTGCTCCCGTCCGAGCTAGTGAAAACGCAATTTCGAGCTTCGGGAAAACAGCAGATTATTTTGCAACTTCGGTCTGATGAAGATAGGCGTGATGTATTTCCAAAAAGTTGTTATCTCATAGCACCCTCCTTTAATGTGATTGTATACCTTCGATCTACCAACCAAACAGTAGAATCAATGATAGGCCTATATATAGGATTTTATTGAAATCATAACACATCAAAAACCAAGAACAAACAGTCCGGAGACTGACACCTAGCTGTTTTGGGTACAGAATAAAAATTAAATTAAATATACATAATAAAATTGCTATATTCTTCTTGCATTAATAATGGGTCATATCGTTAACCTTTATCATAATAGTACCTTTGTATACTTATGACAATATTATAACACTTCAGTATTCTAATCATTCTATTTCATGTGCCACGTACTATCGACCCAAAGTTAATAATCCCGCTTTCATTTAATGCCCTTTGCACACGAGACGCCATTTGCCTGACGAAGGATGGCTACACGAGTGACTCTTGCGGTTTTGATTGATTGATTTTATTCGCCAAGCTTCCAACGTATATTACAATATACAAGAATAACAGATCAAAATCAAGTCAGCTTGAACAGGATAACCCACGAAAGCTCCAGAGTCTATTTCCAGTGGGGTTTTGGGTACACCATGTACAAGTGATATCGTAAAAGACGTGAATGAAAAAGAAAAAAATAATAATACTCTTTTAAAGTCCACTCCAAATTTTATTAAGTTAAACCGAAAATGGAAATTCTTTTTGCCCAATTGATCGTGAACCCGGCAGCCACTGAGCAGCGCCAGATCGACGTTGCTCTAGAACGCGAAACAAGGTAGCAGCAACTCCCATCTTTTAACGTCTTTTAAATAATATTTAAAAACTAGACATATAATACTTGTTTGGAACAAGTATAGGTGGGCTGGTCATCTTAAATTTGAGACAAAATAGAGCAAAAATAAGCGAGATACTGCTTAAAAATGCTTAAAAAACAATATCATGTAGTTTCATGACGTGAACGAAATTGACCTTCTATAGGGATAACGCAAATTATGAAATGCTTGACATGAGGCCTTTAATCGAGATTTTCACTATGATGACGTCATCAAAATGAAAAATGGTTGTTACTGCGCTTGTAGAGAATTGTCTTAGCTACAACATATCGAAATTTCAAAGAAAATTGATCAATATTTACAGAGATACAATCAATTTTACATAAATATGCTGACGTCATAATATGCAAATTCGTATTTTGAGTTCCAAGGCCATTGTGATGATGTCACGATACACTTAATGGCCAAATGAGACACGAAATCATATCTCCGACTCATACTCTATCAGAATATGAAAAAACATTGAGGATCTCGGTGCATTCCAAAGAGCTACAATGGATTTTGTATAGGCATGTTTTTGCCCATATATGCTATGTATTATAAGAGCTCGCGCGCACGGACATTTATCTTGAATGGACGCTCATCTTAATATTAATAGTCATAAAGAGATGAACATAGTATCAAATTGTTTGAACAAATATGGGATTTATCATGAAAGAAAAAAAAATGGCGATTCTACGTTGTGTAATGGTGTTACGCGCGAAAACGCGCGCGCATGCGCGTGTGCGCGATTTTTTTATAAAATGCTTAAAATGATCTGAAACGTATGCAAAATAAATTAAAGACGATTTTGGGCATTTCAAAATTTTGCGCGCGCACTGACGCGCGGACGTACGCGCACGCGCGCGCTTTTTGTCCTGAAATTGACCGGACTGATATTGACCTTGATCATGATTAATATGAATGAGAAACGGCTTTCGGTTTTGAAGATATGACCATGAGTTGATTTTCAGAAAATTTCACAAAATGGCGCCTAGATGACGTCATCAGTCAAGGTCAAGGTTGACAATTTTCCTGTGCTTTGTTCTGATGCCTATACATATGTGTGCTAAATTTCAAGGTATTTGATTGAACCATTTTCAAGTTATCTTGCTCACAAAAAAGTGGGTCGAAATAAGAAAAATAAAGAAATAATAATAAAGGCAATTTTAACAACATTATAAGGTGGTCTGTATTAGATACAGCCCACCTGAAAACATTACTTTGGATTACTGGCGCGTGCCTCATTCAGTAGGTGATGACGTAATCGAAATGACACCTCATGCGCAAAGGTATACATTTAGAATTCATCCATATTGCATATTAATTAATACGAACATGAATTCCACCACCATTCATCCCAATCTGGCACCTTTCGATTTGTGGTTACGTCAGTACCTATCTTCATTTCGTCCTCATGCATTCGCAGGAAAATGGGACAAATGTTTTCTGTCGCGAAAAGATCCGCCATTTTGATACTGACCACTGTGCCAAGTTTCTTCCAATCGAAAAACCGGTTGTAGAGTTCATCGTTACCGTCTAGAAGTTTGATGTAGTCTGCTAGCTCGTGCACGGAAGTGAAATCATTGACGTGGATAAAAGAGTTCGGAGGCCCGACCCGCTCGTAATCCTCTCGGGCTGGTCCGTCCACGATGGGCACCGTTCCACTTGCTAGGCTTACGAAAAACTGTTCAGTGATGAAATCGCGACATCGGCTGATGTCCAAGGCAAGGGAAAACTTGTAAGATCTGACTTTCTCCTCGAATCCCTCTGACTCGGTGCATGGTTTGGAGTCAATGCATGCTTCATACGTGTCGATTGGTACGAATTCTTGTAATTCTTTGATGAAGTTGCCGCGCTGCCAAGTCGCGAACTGGTAGTCTGCAGCTGGTCCGATCACGATATTCTTTTTTTTCGTTGCCCAATTTCGATCGTCGTCTGCTCGTACTTCGGGTCTCGTTTCATCATAGTGACCAAACTCTACAAGGAAATCGGAACCTTGTCGATATGTCATGATGTAGTCGTAAGAGTCATTGTAGTATTTCTTAGGTGGGATAACACCAGGGCTGATCATCGAAGGGCTCTCTCGGCTGAAGAAGACCCACTTTTGTCCCCGCGGACGCGCAGAATGCATCTTCTTCCAGCTCCACTTCGCCTCAGGAAAGAAAACCACTCCATCGCTCACTTTGGTCGTGGAGATGTTGGTGTTAGCGATTATGGATGCTTCGCACGGCACGCCTGGGCAGTGGAATCGAATGGCGTCATCTGAATATCCGTTGACATTGCTGTTTGTCCAGAACTGCAGTTGCCTGGTGCACTTCGATGTCAGCACTGGTCTTTGGAAAAATGAATAGGATAGGATGTCGTCAGAGTAAATGTCTTTCGGCCGGGCTTTCGGCCTCCTAATTGGCTCGGTGGCCCAGATGACCAAACACCCTACGGTGGAGAGACAGATCATCCCCAGCGCAATGAACCTCCTAAGGGATATCGGCCTCATTTCGCGTTGAAATAGGCCGAAGCCGCCTATGAGAAGAACTGAGCAATTTAAAGAGTAAAAATGTGAGGATCTTTCCCTTCCTTTCCACACCACAGCCGCAGTCTAGATGAGAGTGAAGGATGAAGAAAGAAAAGAATACGTTTGTTAATCACAAGATACACATTCAACACGGTCGCAACGACTTTTAGTCATCAGGCGCGTACGCGGGAATTTTTCAAGGGGGGGGGGGGGGGGGGGTTAAAATTTAAAATCACGCCGAAAATTTCGCAACGATCAGCCAGCCGCTGAATAAGCGGGAGGGTGGGGGGGGGGGGGGGGGGGGTAAGAGACACATTTTTTTGTTTTTTGTCCCAAAATTTGGCCGATCGATATTTCGTTTCGGTGGGGGTTAAGGTTAGGTGTTTCGGGTCATCCATTATCTTTTTTATTTTTTTTTATTAAACAAAATCGCAAAAGGGGGGGGGGGGGGGGTCACTCCAAAACAGACATAAACAAAGTCAAAGGAGGGGGGGGGGGGGTCAACCCCCAAAACCTTCCCCCTGCGTACGCGCCTGCTTGCCATGCATTGTTATATTCCTTCCCTCCAGGGATCTCGAGACCGCAGAGAGCCAGAAATTGCATCATGACTTGTCTGGGAAAAAATCCTTCACACGGTTCCCTTATACCCTTGCTATACATTGCGTCCCAGAAAAAAACGTTTTATCATAACTTAATCACAATTGTCATTGATAAATGACACATATTTGTAAAGCTTAGAAAGAGAATTAAACTATCTACATTTTGATACCAATTTTAACGAATTTGAGATTAATTAACAACGCAAATTTAAGTAAAATGAATGAAAAACATGATTTTGTTTTGTTTGTGATTTTTTTTCGAAAACCATTATTTTCCATATATCAAAATCGGAGAGGTGCATTTTCGTAACTTTTCAGGAATTTGCCCATGTACAAGGACACTATCCTGTGTAAAGGGGAGGTTTACAATCTGTTCAATAAAAAGTTATATCACTCCAAAGTTATTGATTTGATTTCCACAAAAAAACAATAATTTTGCCCACATGAGTATTAACTGTCATATACGTGTATTAGTGTATTGAGGACCTGTTTGGTGTGTTTACATTTTAAGGTAAAACCTCTAATCACCATGGATTTGGTGTCAAAAGATGGATAATTAAAATATCTTCAATTTGATATCAATTCCATTGAGTTATATGTAGTGTGTGAAGTACATGTGTACATATTGAGCCAAAAAGGTGCTTTTTTTGTAAATATTTTGTTCGGGCCCTCTAAGTTTGGCCAGTATCTCGGTACATAAACTAAACAAAAGTGATTGGACATTTAGTAGTGCAGAAAGTTCAAAGGATTTGAAGCGCTGAGTCACTGAGTGTAATTGATAAATATTTCTTCTGTACTCTGGGATGTTTCAGGAAATGTGGGCATTGGCAGTTGACATTTATATTTGTTGATGTACATTGTACTCTTACAACTTCCTCTTTTACTTCATTTCTTCATGTTTCTCCTCTCCGTTTTTGTGACTTCATGTTATCTTCTGTTTTCTTATTTTTTGCTGCCCAAGCAATCTGACCATATACATTTCAATATTGACAAATCAGTTGTAACTGTATTTTATGTTTAACCCATTCTATTCGAAAAATGGACTTTCTATTTTAGTCTAAAAAAATTGACTGATTTTCATTAAAATAGGTATTTTGATAAATGTACTCCAATTGTTTCAATTTTCAAAACAAAATTTAAAAAAGTAATCACAAAGTGCGGCAGCTTTATTGCATTGCCCAAGTTATTGAATTGCAAGCTCGGCTTCTGCCGAACCTGCTAGAGCACGCCTGCCAAGATTTGGCTTCTGCCGAACCTGCCAGAGCACGCTACAAGGTTTGGCTTCTGCTGAACCTGCCAGAGCACGCTGCCAAAGTTCGGCTCCTGCCGATCCTGCCAGAGCATGCTGCCAAGATTCGGCTTCTGCCGAACCTGCCAGAGCATGCCGCCAAATTTTGGCTTCTGCCGAACCTGCCAGAGCACCCTGCCAAGATTTGGCTTCTGCCGAACCTGCCAGAGCACGCTGCCAAGATTCGGCTTCTGCCGAACCTGCCAGAGCGCATGCCGCCAAATTTTGGCTTCTGCCGAACCTGCCAGAGCACCCTGCCAAGGTTCGGCTTTTGCCGAACCTGCCAGAGTAGGCCGTCAAAGTTTGGCTTCTGCCGAACCTGCCAGCTAGAGCATACCGCCAAAGTTCGGCTTCTGCCGAACCTACCAGAGCACGCTGCCAAGGTTTAAACGTACAAAGGACTCAAGGTTTCAGATTTAAAAAGGACCAAAAGTGTGTCAAGTTGCATTTTACACATTCCTGCATGGGCATTCATATAGCATCATTCTTTCAGAGGAAGAGAGCTGCCTTTAATGGGAAGCTTCTCATCTTCCAAATTCTTTATTGTTTTATTGAAGATGATTTTTTGTGAGTTTGTTTTTTATTTCACTGGTTCCACAATCAATCTATTGCAGGATAAACAATCTAAAATGAATTATACAATTATCCACGTTCTCTCGACATACGATTCCCATACCAGAGCTCAAGTTTAAGCTTGAACTATGCTATGGCACATATAGGAGCATCACTATCCTGGTTGTGTAGTAAAAGCTGTGCTTTTGATTCTCAACATTTCAAACACCACTGTACAAAACTCAAATGATTTCACTCAAAATCGGTACTTTAGTGACAATTGATGACACCTAAATAGCAGTAAAATACATTTTTTTCAACTTACTGATGTTAAAAAGAATAATTTAAAAATTAAAATTGTAAGTCTAGTGTCAAACTTTGCTTACAGCTGCATCGACATGATTGTGTAGAGTCTATGCGAAATTGTGTGGTGTGTATATTTGTGTATAGACTTCTAGGTCCCTGCCTCACAGCATGTATGCAGTGCTAGAGGTCAATATGCATTAGCATTGACTATCTCCCTATATATGCTTTGCTGGAGTGTGCTATGGCAGAAACATTAGTGTGGTGCATTCATTCCAACTCCCTGATTATACTAAACGAAAAAAAAGGTTAATAGTGTTCTGACTTAAACACAGTCAACACAATGCATTACTGATACCACCTATACTTGAAAAAGTTATAAGTATGAAGTCTCTAGTTGCATGGTTTTCAAACTGCTTATACCATAATTAAAAGCTCACCTTCTCACTGCATGGCGACGTAAACAGCTGATGATTTTATGACCACCAAAGTACAAAAAATGTCTCAATATCCTGCCATCATTATTATTCTGATAGTAAACTTTCAACTCATCTTGCTCAGGCCACGGCCGCGACTCTACCTTAACCACAATTTTATTCATTCCTTCTCTTAAACCTAAATGCCAATTTACCTTTGTTGTGTACGTGGGTAAAGAAAAGCTTTCGATCGAGTTGTGTTGTCAAGACCTGACTATTATCACCAACGCCTTTCTTTTTGATCGAGGCTTTCGACCGTCCTTTTCACTTTTGTCGCTTCATCATTACGTAACTTAGCGAACGCATGAGGAAGCATTCGTACAAGTCGATATATTACAATATACCACGCGTGCAATATACAGTACACGTATACACTGTAAACAAATAATAGTCTAAATAACTCAATAAAATTGAGGAAAAGAATTGCCTTATTTTTATTAAGTAAATATTACCTACGGCATCTTAAGTAGAATTTACGTATTTTGCTGAATACATTTTTACTCAGTTAAATCGAGTTACATTAACGTAAATAATTTAAGACAGTATTGTAATCATTTTAGATAATTAAAAAAAAAGCTATGATGGGATTACATATGGCACGATTTGGTACCCATCTAATCTAACAAGTAACATCCACTAATCATTCACTACTTCTATTTAAGATTTAACCGTATATATATATCTACCACCATCACAAACTATTACATACGCTTCAAATCGACACATATTGAAAGGCTCCAAATTTTATATATACTTGATCGTAGCATCTTAAAAGGAAAATTGGTTAACAATTTCCTGAAATATCAAATTTTTATTTGTTTTGGACTGGGTAACAATTAAAAATTGTCTTGTCTTTGCTTAGCCATTTTAAATGAATTAGTAAATGTTTTAAAGTCCTTAAATTTTCATTTAATCACAAAAAAGAATTGTTTTATTTAAAAAAAGAGTTTAATTTGGTCTTAATGAATATTCATAAATTATGTAAATATTTCTATTACGCACTGCATCGGTCCTTACTTTAAAAAGATAAGAATAATCAACATAAATTGTTTGAGTAATACGTATAATTTCTGATTTTTAGTTAAAATTACTAAATTAATACAAGCTGAAATTACTTAAAGTTCTTATGTATTTTATTTTACTTAAATATTCCACGTATGTTCTACTAAATTGAAAGTTTGAGTTAGCAAGACTTAAATTTAGTGCGTAAGTGGCAAAACTAATGTTTACAAGTAAATTCTACATGGAAAAAATACGTAAAAATTAACAATGAACAAATTATTTTTTACAGTGTACAGATTTATCGTTGGCATTGCTAAACTTTCAAATGGAGGACCTAATAAGTAGTTTCTTTTATTTATTGTTTAATGTTGCTTGTATGTTTTCTTTGGAACATATCATACTTGCATCTCTCCTCTCTGAAGCGACACGTTAATTGTAAAACCATTTCATTTTCCCCTGTTCATCCTCCGTGTTCGTCATAATGCACCCCGGCAAAAATATGCATTTTCATCTTGAAGAGATTTTAAATGAATGACACATATAGTCTAAGCTATCTAGTCCCATTCGTAGTCGCCCATTTCAGTACATCTGATGACTATGGAGCTTGAATCAGATCAACATCAAACAAAATATCATTGTATAATTATGTCAACGATTCACAATTAGTTCCGGATATAATCCATTATTACTTGGTAATTAGGTATATATACATACTTTGGAAAGGTCTCAATGTCTCGTTTCCTTTTTTAAATTTTAAATGAAGGTACTATTTAAGAGGGGGATACAGCAGTATCTGTTGATTTATTGATTTATGTTATTTTCTGTATTTATATCTATTCATTTGATTTACATAACACGTAGATTTTCATTATTTATACGTCTCTTCTTTTGCTTTTTGTGTTCCTGTGATGGTGGCAAGAAAATATTTTCAACTGAATGAGCAGTAATAGCAGGCTTGACGGACGGCCATGGGTTTTGTACACGAATGTGTTCGTACCTATACTATTTCTAATTGACTCGTATAAATTATACAACAGTTTTGACAGTTTTTTTTATTTGCCTCTATAGTGTTTTTTTTCGAGCAAAAAATGACTTATAACACGTCACGTTTCAATGGGATTTTGACATTTTGAATTTTACTCGTGCGTTTTTAATGGAATTTTTTGACGTTTTGAATATGATATGTAGGCCTATTTGCTTGTAGGACTTAGATTTTTTTAACCGAAAAAAAAGTGACTTATAACACGTGTGTCTATGGAAAATTGACTCTTTGACTTTCTTTCTATACTTCGTGTTTGACTTTCAGAGGAATAAAAACACCGTTGGAGGTTGGACAATATCTATTGTTCGATCCTTGAACTAAGAGAAGGAACAAAGGGTATGTGTATTTACCCATACTATGATCCTTGCACAAAGTCATACGGTATGCAGATGATACTACTATGGGTGCGTTCAAGCGATTTTTTGAAGGTAGAATCACAAACATACTGCGGGAGAGCGTTCAAGCGATTTTCATCAACGCTGATTCTAGCTCATTTTAAGCCCAGCCACTGCGCATCACACTGCGCGCAGTTTGACCCAGGTAAAGGTCAACTTCGGCGCGCGCTTTCTGAAATTGTTTATGGCCGACTGTCGGCTGCTGTTTTAAAACAAAGAATAGCACAAGGAAAGAAAGAAAGAAAAAGTTGAAGAAAGATTAAAACAAGGAATACCATAAGAGAAAGTGATAGAAGGAAGAACAAAGAATAAAAAAAGGAGGGACAAAAAGAGAAAGTTGAAGAATGATTAAAACAAAGAATAACATAAGACTCAGGAGATAGAAGGAAGAAACAAAGAATAACATAAGGAAAGACAGAAAGAGAAGGTGATAGAAGGAAGAAACAAAGAATAACACAAGGAAAGACAGAAAGAGAAAGTGATAGAATGATTAAAAATACTTGAGAATAACATAAGAGAAGGAGATATAAGGAAGAAATAAGAAATAATATAAGGAAAGACAGAATTAAGAAAAGGTGATATAGCAGGAAAAAACAAAGAATAACATGAGGAAAAAAAGAAAGAGAAAGTTGAAGAATGATTAAAACAAAGAATAATATGAGAGAAAGTGATAGAAGGAAGAAACAAAGAATAACACACGGAAAGACAGAAAGGGAATTAAATTAATATCAGAATCAGAGAAGGACTTGCATCGACTTTTGGATGTTGTCGTGAGAGAAAGTGACAATTAGAGAGGACCGTCCAAGAAAACGGAATGAATGGTATACCATCATTACCATGCTCTCTTACAACAATCAAAACAAGCCACCTCTGCTAATTACCTCTGGACCACAATAAGAGGCTAGAGGCGAGCAAGAAATCAAGAGAAGGTTATTGCACTTCAGTGGCGGAGCAAGGGGGGAAACGGCCGCGCCCCCCTCCCTATTGGCGGCGCAAAAAAAAGGAAGGAAAAATAGAGGAAGAAAAGAAGAGAAAAAAAGAAAGGAACAGAGAAAAGACAGAATAGAAATCCTCCCCTCCCTCCCCCCCCCCCCCCCCCCCCCCCCCCCTCCCTCCCGCCCTCTCCGGCGTCGGAGGCAGGCACGTAGCCAGAGTTTGATGTTTTTTTTTTGGGGGGGGGGCACATACATGTAATCGATCGAGGTAAAAAAAAAAGGGGGTCTAAAAAAGTTCAACCGATCTTGGAAGAAAAAAAATGGGGGGGGGGGGGGGCCCACTCCCACCCCCATAGCTACGTGCCTGGTCGGAGGGACCGAATTCGTGTTCCCAAAATCTCCGGTAAAGGGATAACTTATCACGCAACAAAGTCCGGCCCGTACTGACTTAACACACCGGAGATAGAGGGGTGCTTTCAAAGAGAGGGAGCATGCATACGCGTACCCTATAGTGGGGGGGGGGGGGGGGGAAGGCCAAGTCGGGTGGGAAAGGGGGTAAGACAAGGAAATGTAGCTAAGTGACAGTAACGACGAATAAGGGAAAAACTTAATCGGGAGATTTGGGGACATTAGTGAAGGCTTGGGAAACGTTATTGAATAGAGGGGGCCGGCCGAATAAAATCTCGAGCCACGGATTCAAAGTTAAACGTTAGAAACAGCCCCTGCTCTACAAAGGTCATCACTCTTTGGTGAGAAATTTTAAAAGGGCACAATATTTTGGGTGTCTTTTAAATAGAAGCTGTATAATTATACTCAACAGTCTAATTTTAAATTAACGGTAGAGGGGCCGCTTCCCAACTCTTATTTTGCCCTTCATTATTTTGGCTTCAGCTCATACCAACTCGCTTGAGCTTGTATTTGAACTCATGTTGGTAGTAATAAATTATGGACAGGGGCTGCGATCCTGGGCCCGCTAGGAGAACAAGTCCCCCAGGAAATTTAGAAATAAAGCTAGAAAGAAATAATGGCGGAAATAGTGGGCTTCTAGAATGCATAATTTCAGCATTCAACATTGCAAAATCTCCCTTGGTCGCTAGTCGCTACACCCCTCGCCCAATAACACAACATTATGATATGACACTACGCCCACGCTGCCGGCCGTGATTTATCCATGGTTGGTGTAATAGATCGTTTTTTGTTTTTTTTTAAAGATGATTGGTAGTTTTTGGTACTACAACGTCGGAGAATAGCGTTGAAAAGAGACATAACTAACTAACTAGCTTTTCGTTTTGTACTCATCAGAGTAAAACGCAAGAATGAAACAGGAGGCCGAAATCGGTCACTTTTATAAACGAATTTAAAAGGAACAAGGCGCGAATATAACGAGCGCTGATTGACTGTCTAAAGTAACGGTAAATGAGGCTTATGCCAGCCGGTTATACCGGATTAAGAGTAGTTAATTAAGAGGATTAAGAGTCGAGAATGGAACAACGAATCATCTTCTTTCTCTAATAATTTTATTAAACTATGAAAGGTCAAAGCTTCCGCGCTTCGTGCGGGAGGGAGAAGGGGGGGGGGGGGAACTGAATTCAGACAAGGATTAAGAGTCGAGAATGGTAAAACGAATCCTCTTCTATCTCTTATAATGTAATGAAACATCAAAGCTTCCACGCTTCGCGCGGGAGGGGGAAACTGAATTCAGACAAGGATTACGAGTCGAGAATGGAACAACGAATCATCTTCTTAATAACTTCATTAAACTTTGAGAGGTCAAAGCTTCCGAGCTTCGCGCGGAGGGGGGGGGGGGGACTGAATTTAGACACGGATTAAGAGTCGATAATGGTACAACGAATCCTCTTCTTCCTCTGCTTCGTGCGTACGTAATGGGGGGGGGGGGGGTCGACAGCGAGCTCACGGTCCGAATAATGTTTGATATCTTTTCTCGTTTATCTTGGTGATAAATAACACTTTCACAAAATACATTATGCTTAATTTTTTGCTCGCTCTCTAGCCGAATTGTGAAACCAGAAAATTACTTTTTGAGGCAAGAGGCTTCAGCCACCCCCCCCCCCAGAAGAAAATGTCAAAAATTGTATAACTTAATTAAAACGGGGAACTTGATATCGGACAAGAGACGTGACGTGAGCCTGCCCCCTTTCCAAAATTGTGCCTGCTTGTATAGGTACCGGTATGGTGCTTCTAATATGACCTTGATCCGCGCCTGCACTTGCAAAATCAACTTTCTCCAAGTTAGAAAACATCTTAAAAGCATAAGAAGCTGAAGATGAAGACGAATAATACTCTCTAAATTTGAAAGTCTTATTTTTAAATCTTAAAGTCTTACTTTTAAATCTAACAGAGACTGATATTAGTGACGAACCCTTTGGGATTTAAAATAAGTCTAAGCTAAGACTTGAAATTTTAAGTCCCTGAAAAGGTTTAAAATTTAAGTCAATTGGATTTATATTTCAAGTCTTTTAATATTTATTTTAAACCTTTCTTGGATTCATTTCAAAAATAAATCTAAGCTAAGACTTAAAATTTTAAGTCCCTGAAAGATTTAAAGTTTAAGTCAATTGTATTTATATTTCAAGTCTTTTAGATTTACTGGTCTAGCTAAGCCATTAGAACCATTTGGTAAAACTTCCAACCAATTGAACGGCAACAACACTTCAACACTGGTACGTCTGTATTATCAATGTAAAGGCATCGGTAATAAGTAGACTTATACATAATTTAATCAATCGATTTTTTTCTTCATATACTTGTATTTTATTGAAATTATTTTAGTTTATAGTTAATGTTTCCCTTATTCATGTTTAATTAAATGGAATTCATACGAAGTAGCGAAATGTCCTAATAACTTGTAATTTATATTTGTAGTATTTTCGAAATGAATTGCATATACCTAAATCATCAGTAATTAAGAAATATGCTGTTAATTCAGAAAAATTGTTAAAAAAACATAGATCTGCACGCACCCCATATTCAATATGCAAATTAATTGGTGTCAGCTGGTTCAACTGGAAATATGCCAACAGTCAGTCATCAACAGGTGCAACTGGAAATATGCACATCTTATTGGCGAGAAGTTTAAGTCTTTCCAAGATTTATATCTAGAAGCTGGTTTCGATAAAACTTTTAGTCGAATTTCCAATTTATTAAGTCTCAAAGACTTGAAATATTTTAAGTCTCAAAATGGATTTAAAATTTAAGTCCTAGAAATTAAGAGAGTTTATAAGAGGTCGACAGCTCAGCTTCTCATGTTCTTGGGTCATGTTATTCTAAAGAATGGTTTGGAAAATCTTGCACTGACTGGTTTTCGACATATGGACTCTTTTTTTTTTGATGCTCTTTCGGAAAATGAAGTTCAAATTGAGAATTTCTAAAAACAGATATTTATGACCTCATAGCTTCGGTACTCTTTAGGTCATTGCACTTAGGCGCAGGTTTGACTGGTTTCTCCCTTAGCTTCGCTCTATATTCAGCCTAAAGAGGGCGTTTTCTCAAACACGTAATATCATGTACTGAGCAGCAACATAGTAGGTAAAGTCACTACGAAATATCTGTCTTTTGATCTGGAGTGTGTTCAGCACAAACGATTAGGGTAAGATAGTTTTCAAAATCATTGTTGGTAGTAATTCTTAAAATCTTTGTAGTGTTAATTTGAAAATAATATGAATAAGTAATCAATAAAGAGCGTACTAATGTAATGCCTATCGGCCTCCTTAGCTTTGAATGCAGTCAGCTGCCAGCCTGCTGCAGCCACTGCCTAAGCCCTAGGCTAGACTGCACAGAGCGCGCGTCGCGTCGGCCGGGGGTTGATGGTGAGACGGTATGGAGGTGGGCACTGCACACTCCATCAAAGCATATTCTAGAGAGTCATTGTGTGTGTGTCCATTGTGTTTTTTACAGACGTGTATCAATCAGATATGATTTTTTTACCTCTGGGGACCGATCTTTAAACGTCACCATCCGAAAGACGTGACTCTGACTCAGCTTCGAACCTGCGTCCTCGGCTGAATCAGTTTGTAACTTCCGCTTTTACTTAGCTGGATTACAGGCGCACGCCACAATGCCTAGACTAGTTGTGTATTGACCTTTATATCCAGCACATAGACCCTACAAAGAATCTTTTAATCTGATTGGTCTAAACGAGGTCACATGATCATTGATATATTTACCATCGTGAGTGAGCTAGGGGTGTGCAAAGCCAAAAGTACTATCACACTGCGATAGTACTTTTGTACAGTATTTTTTTGCTGCTGCCCCACTTGCCCATTGAATAAGCATAGCGAAGAAGGTTACGCTAAATGTCAGTGTTTTTGTTAAGGGTTAACTTAAGGCCAAACTACAAGTCAACGATGCTTAATTTAAGCGTTAAAAAAGTCAAATGCGCGTGCTTCTACTTTATTACATGTAGTCTATGCATGTTGTGCTTTGAACATAAATCATGTAAACTTGAAACAAATACGACTATACAACTGGTAAATAAGACCAATCGATGCATGTCATTAATGCGCGATAAAAGCAAAACCATAGCCATGTATGATGTTGTGTTGTGTGCTAAAATTCTTCCCATAGAGATTGCACGCATCCCTATGCAGTCTATGTGCATTGCGCGACCATGCAAAAACAGTCTTCTTTTTTTTTTTCAATTCGAGATTTAAACCTTTATCTGTTGTGATCCTGAAGGTGATACTCAATAAATAAGGTGTCATATGAAAGAGCAGGTGAATTCCAATATTTCCAAAGGGGGGTCATCTCGAAATTCTAAAAATATCTTGGTCAAAACGGCAATTTAAACATTGTGTCCTGGCTATCTTTGAGGTTTGCCACTTTTGAGATATGACGCCCCGATCGATAAGTATGCCCAGTCCTAAGGAACAATTCTATACGCTTATATTTTCGCTAGCCCCCAGGGATCACAAAGGATTACAGTTTAAAAATACCCTTCCCCCTATTTGGTGGATCAGCTAATTAGGGGGCGTGCTCTCCGCTCAGTCCAAACCATGGTTACATCGCGTAACATCTCCGCGTACAAACAAAACCTGACATTCAATTACACATTATAGTAAATTTAAGTATGGCTAGCCATTCGCGCAATAAAACCCGGAAGTGAATACACGTTATAGACAATGGCAATATCGCAGAGACAACGTGCACGTTGTCTCTGCGATATTGCCATTGACTATAACGTGTATTCACTTCCGGGTTTTTTGGTGCAAACGGCCAGCCATACTAGTCAATGGCAGGTATCGCAGAGACGACGTGGCTCAAGCTGAAAGTCGCGCATTCAGCTTAGCAACATGCGTACGATATGCATACGCTTGCATATCGCGCGATACAGCTGTTTGGCTTAATTTAGCAAAATAACATCACTCTGCGTGAACGTCTTTTTCGTCGATTCTGACCAAAAAGATATGAATTTACCAGCGTTTTGGAGGGGCTGTAATGTATCTTTTGATAGAAACATCGGTGAGACTTCAAATTTGAAATGTATTATTCTGATTACATTTTTTATTCAAATATCAAACAAAAATGGTGAAAAACGATCCCAAATTGAAAATTGAAAAATCGTTCAGACACCCTAGTATGATATGTTAATATGTGTCGACAAGTTCATTGTTCTTTCAAATTTTTACCACTTTTATTGACTTATTAACTGAATTGAAATGCTCACGGTTTTGAGCAATGTTGCCAAAATCATTCAGCATTATTGGAAGCTAATTATAAGTATTTGTAAAACAGACAATATCAGCCTTGAGCTCCATTTCATGTTTTTAATGAATTTAATTCAATTTATTTCAATAATAATAACAATGCAAAGGTCTAGAAATATACCATACAAATGTGATTGAATTACTATTAAACACTGCTCACAAATTTAAATGAATGGAACTACAGTCTGTATTTACTATGCAGTTAAAGCACATCTATATTCAGCATACCCCTTAAAAATATATTTCTGTTTATATATTTAATTTCATTTCATTTCATTTCTCATGTTGTTACATAGGCTATACATTGGAAAACAAAGTACAAGTTTTTTTTTTTTTTTCAATAATACATAATAAATAGCATGAAAATAAGTGGTCAATATAGAGTACTGATTTAACTGGTTATTCGTGTATTCATGTAACTTGCCTTTTAAATAATGAAGACCTTTTTTTCTCTGTCTTTCATACACTGTACATCACAGGTACATGTACTGAAGAAGGTCATAAATCGAGAAAGCAACTTCCTCACCAAACATTCAAGATTTTCTACTACATAGTGATAAATGAGATGACCTTTCTGTTTGCACGTCTGAGCATCAGAAAGAGCTCCTTTTGGATGGAACCCTCACTTTCTTCTTTAGTTTTGAGTGTGCTCTTCATTCAATGGATATCTAAGAGAACGCTAGCTTCCGAGAGATATACATAGGTTTCCACTGAGTTCTTCACTTCGGGTAAAGACGCCTCCGTTTTTCAACAAAGAGGGATAACATCGGCACAGGTGCCGTTAGCATATTAAAGTTAATCTTCCGATGAAAAACCATACTAGCAGTCATCAACATCAACATGGCGTTATAGTCTCCATTATGAATGATTCAACACTCAGTTGATGAGCAGCAGATAGATAATTCATCATTAATTACATTTATTGACAAAAATAGAGGAAAGGACTCTGCAATTTATAACCCAACCATGGCTAGTAACAGTACAGAGGACGGTAACCAAAAACCTAGCAACGGAGCATCGGCTTCCACGGAAGATTCCACTAGCCAAGAGAGCTTGTTTGAATGCAACATTTGTCTTGATACTGCCAAGGATGCAGTCGTCAGTAGATGCGGGCATTTATTCTGGTGAGTTTTTTACAGTCTTTTTTTGCTCCAACCGAATGGGAAATTAGATTGGAATAGATTAAAATCAAAGATAAGGTAGGATGATTTGTGACAAACTACGCTGAATCGCCATTTGCTCGGGGCTTTATTTTTTGTCCAAGATGGAGCGAGTTAGGGCTTGGTTTGTGACTGGGCGATAGGTTAGGTGTACAGGTATTGTTGGTCAAACAGTTTTTGAGCATCAAGTAACGCCTGGCTGGAAGCTCCCCAGGGAGTGGAGATTGTGCACACAGTGTGTGCGGCCAAGTATTGAATCCAATGACCGGGGTAATTCTGTAATTAAAGCGCTTAGAGACATCATAGATGTATTAAGCGCTATGTAAAAGCGGAATTATTATTTTTATTAAGGGTTTGGGTATTGATTGATTGATTGATCAATTTTTTTTCATTTCATATAACAATTGTTTGCACAATAAAGAACATAGTTTACAAAGTAAGTTCAAAATTATGAAATGAAACTGGAACCTACTGGAAAGCATAGGTAGCTTGTTTTTGTAGGTTCCCAATAATAATGTAATATAAATATTATTTTCATAAATCATTTCAAATTGTCTTAATAATCAGAGTAAAAATAGATATAATATAATAACATATTTTTATAAACCCTTTAAAAGTATTTAAATAGTTGAAATATACAAAAAGAACAGAATTACATGTACAAAACGGGACACGAAGGACAGGAAACTGACCTAATAAGATAAGACATGACGTGACAAAACAACTCATAACATTAAAATAGATCATGCAAAATTACAGTAGACCCTCCTGAATGTTGACATACTGTATAGTTTGATGATGATTGTTTTAATATACATGTACATGTACATGTACCTGATGATTGCTAAGAGTAAACAACCAGGGGAACGACTGCTGTAAGTCCTCTCTGAGGGACTTGGTAATGAGGATTTATGATTCACCAAAGGGTATGAGCGCATCGATTTGGTTTTGAGCCAGGGACCTCTCGATCGTTCGTTCATTCGTGTCTCCTTAGATCAAGATTAATGTAATCTTGATCTTTGGAGTAGTTGCTACAACCGGCCGTGTCAGACACGTTGCCCTGGGGTGCGAGATAATAAGACCAAAGCCATGGCACCTCCTATAGTGAAGTGACATTTTATACAAACACTGTATGATTGTTATGACTGTATATTTTGTATTTTTAGTTACCCTGTAAAAGATTTTGAAAATTTAGCCTTTGGCTGCAATGATATTGTATGAATTATTAAAAGGTATAGACCAGTTTTGGAAACGCCCCCCTCTCAAAAAATGAAATGAAAGTTCCTTTTACCAATCATGTGAAAGAATATGTTTTGACTAATACGTGAGGATACAAATTTTGCTGGGAAACCACCTACTAAGTGATATATTTGGTAAATTATTATAGCTATCCAGTCCGGATAGATCTAAAAATGTATCGCGTAGTATACATCTTTCTGTTTACAGTGCTTGTAACTCTACCAAGACTGGGCCAAATTTCTTATCGTTTTGATGATTCCAGAACCTTGCAGTACACACCAATACTTACATGTACACTACATGTATATGCTAAAGTAGATGATCAACCTTTTCTGATCGATTCCACAACATTTCTTTCACAATGCAATTGCATGACCAGAACTGGTCTTTACCTTTAACTTTAAAATACATGTATTTCAATATCATTCTCTTACAGTTGGCCCTGTCTATACCAGTGGCTTGAGACCAGACCAAACAGACAAGTGTGTCCAGTATGCAAAGCGGGCATCAGCAGAGACAAGGTCATTCCATTGTATGGACGGGGGAGTACAAATCAACAAGATCCCAGGTATTTAAGTGAAATTGGTTTCTTATTGTAAAAGCTTCAGCAGTTACAAGTCAAAAAGGGGGTAATTACATGTACATCTACAGATTTGCTTTATAGTGTTTGGATTGGGCATATAGTATTTTTTTAAAAGAATACCAACAAATACAGACATGTACTGAAGCTTTCGGTCTTGCATTCATCAAGCACTCACCAGAACTGTGCAGAATGAATCGCAAGATTAAATAGAAAGGGGAAATTGGAAGCTAAGGGAACACATAGTAATATAAATAGAAGCTAAAAGGATGATCTTAACGGGCTGTGTTATTTTCTCTTGTACTAGTTGGTCTCCGACATACTACTCAACCTCATGTCCGCTTGGTCATAGTTTGAAAGCAATAATCGTGAACTTGGCTGGTTGAATGTTGTTGACTTTCATTTGACTGCCACTTTAATGGTTTGGTTGCCGTTTGGTAGCAGGCAAGTGGGTTGAACTACCTTAGAAAGACCATGATCTTATTTTTTCTCTCTTTCTTTGCGACTTCAGAGAAAAGATGCCGCCAAGACCACAGGGGGAAAGACTCGAACCAGAAACACAAGGGGTAAGCACTGTCTTTGTATGTCCCCCCCCCCCTCGCCCTCTTTGCAATGTTACAACAGTTCTAAAGTGTACAAAGAACATGCTTTAGTGACGATGGCTTTGTGTTCAATATCTACACTAATGGGGCATTGCAAGAAAGTTGCCATTGATTGCAAGTTCCCAAATTTGCAATTGATGCAATGGATTGCAACTCAACTTTCTTGCAGCACCCCGCTAGTCTCCTAAATTTCCTAGGATTTTGTACGGATTAAAGATTTAACAATTAATTTAGCTAACAAGATCTAGCTTTTATCCCCCCCCCCCCCTCTCTCTCTCTCTCTCTCTCTCTTACTAATGGGGCGTTGCAAGAAAGTTGAGTTGCGATCAATTGCAAATTTGCAATTAATCGCAAATAAAAAATAAAAAGGCGACGCGTGCCTTGGGGATTTGCAATTGATTTCAACTTTCTTGCAACACCCCATAAGTGTCACAAACCCAATTTTCCAACTTCAACACCAGACCCATTCCTAACTGTTAAGCCTTTAAACCCTAGCTCTGTCTTTGATGAAATAAAGCCTGAGGCAACTATTGGATCACTGTACACAATATGCTAGTTCCATGATGTACAATCAAATCAAATTTAATGCATTCATTTTTGTTAAAGTGCCTTGTTACACATTAGTTCAGACACCTCGTCAGCTGGGTGGCTGAAGGGCGTTAGCGCGCAAGAGACTCGAAAACTACTTTTCAACTTATTCACATTTAAAGATTTGTTTTATATTTAAACTGCTTTCCGTCCCGAGACTAATATAAAGACTAATAGAAATGTTGTAGTAGAACACGGCCACAAGTTTTCCTCAGAAATAAGTCAGTTTTATAAAAGTTTGAGGTGATTTAGTGCTAACGCCCTTCTGCTTAAAGTTTCATTATTGACCTGAAATTCGGGCTAACGCCCTTCTGCCAGGCAAGCGACGACCTGTTATGAATAACTGTATTTCAATAATCAGAATACAAATTTCATACATGATGCATTGTCCAACCTATCAATAACTAATGTATGCCATTTGTATTTTGACTATTGAAATACAGTTACCGGTATTTGTAACAGGTGAATTTAATAACTCTTCAATTTTTCAAAAAATGCACAAATTTGAGTACATTTTGAAAAATGGTATATTGAGAACAAGTTCTAGAGCTCCATAGTCCTTATCTTATGTTTAAAACAAATTGAAGAAAATTAAACACCATGATTGTTTGTTCAAATATATATACATGTATGTAAGTAAGTTAAGTCACAGTATCAGTATCTTTGTTTCTCTTCTTGAAGAAGAATATTTATTCCATTTATTTTTTGTTGTTATCCATGCAGCCCTTCCAAGGTTTTGGTTTTGGAGACGGTGGTTTCCACATGTCCTTCGGTATTGGTGCCTTTCCTTTCGGTTTCTTTGCTTCAACATTCAATCTAGGAGACGGCAGAGTTGGTCATCCACGTAAGTATGAAATAGACGGGGGTCAGTCATGGTTCACACAAGAAATACAGTCAACCCTGTCTATTAAGACCACCACGGAAAACACAGAATGTGGCCACTATAAACAGGTGGCCTTCCTGGACAGGTTCTACAACACATATTTTCTCTCTCTCTTTCTCTTTCTCTTTCTCTTTCTCTCTTTCTTTCTTTCTCTTTCTCTCTCTCTCTCTCTCTCTCTCTCTCTTATGAGGGAGACAAAATGCATTGTCACTGTAGACTGGTGGCATTTATAGAGAGGTGGCCAGTATTAAAGGCAGGTTTGACTATATTTTATTGTAAAGATTTTGAAATCATTAAATTATTTGACCATGGGCAAATGGGGAAAATTTTCCTAGACAATCTCATGTTTCTTTTTGTATTTTTATGATATAAATGCACTCCATTTCATTGTTGTAAGTACATGTGCATTGTCCAAATGTTCTTTTGCATACTTTTATCAGTACATGACTGCCGCTAAATTTCTTTTTTCTTTGAATAATGTAAATAGTCATATATTGTTGAGTGGATTGTGCATCCTGACTTACATGGAAGTTGTACTGTATAAGTCATGGTTATGAAGAAAGTGAAAGTGCGAAATTTGTGAACATTTTAACTTCCTGTGTGCTTCCTGTAGAAGTATTGATAAAGTATTGATGAATGTTAATGGTCGTCTCATCATCACATAACAGTATATGATATTGTATGAAAGAGGATAACACTTTGTATTTTACCTGTTGTATACTTTGATATGTATTATGTTTGAGTCCTAAATAATGCAAACTTAAGACAGAAATTATGGTTTCAATAGTACGTTGAATACGGCGGCTCCAATCTACAATCAGGGGACTACGTCCTCAGTAAGCACGAGATATACAGTTTGGATTGCAAACACAACAATATGTGCAGATGTTTGGCTGTTTTTATTGTAAATATGACATTTGGCATTAGACTTTTCATTGTAATGTGTTTTATCGATAATGACCCACAGTTGACATTGAAATTTCAAGTGCGAAAATATGGAGTCTAGCACATGTACATGTACATGTAGTAAGCCGACTCCATTAATATAAGCAGTATTAAAAAAAAATGTCATTAACTTCTATTTTTCTCTGTTTGCTTCATCATCTCTGTATCCTCTCACTCTATTACCATGTCAATAACATATCAATACCCACACCGGCACAGAGCCTTTTTATAACATAACTCATTTATTGGCTTGCAGAGGGGCAAAATAGTTTTGTATAATTTTAAGTCCATTGCCAAGGTATAATTTCCAAGGAATCACTTCAATTTTTTTTCTTCTCTTGCAGCCCGTCCACAAGTTCCTAGCAACCCGGAAGAGCAGTTTTTATCCAAGGTGTTTCTGTGGGTTGCATTTCTCTTTGTATTCTGGTTGCTGGTCGCTTGATATTTGTTGAGCCTCGAGGGACCACCTCATTACTGCTTTGAGCCAAGCTTTCTTCAGGGACTCCTACGACTGCATCGATTTAGTGCAGTTAAAATTCATTGTATGTTTTCAGAAGGATGGCGTAGTCTGGCTGTAGATGGCGCTTCTCAAGAGCCTCACTCGACAGCACTGAAAATGGTTTGTGGGCAAAACACACACACACACACACATCTTCATGTTTTCGAGCAAGTACCTTGCATGGAAGGTGCGCTCTAGTGCAGCTTATGGGCGATTACATGCATTATGTCTTGTATGATATATATAAAGCCTCTTTTTCCCTTTTCATTATGTGAGGGGTATCAGAAATAACCATTTACAGTCAAACCTGTCTATAGCGACCACCCAAGGGAAACACAAAAAGTGGTCTTTGTAGACAGGTTCTTTTAGTACATGTTTCAATGAGAAACCATTTTCAAGGGAAACAAAAAGTGTGGTCTTTGTAGACAGGTGGTTACTAAAGCAGGTTTGACTGTAATAGTCGATAATCATGCCAAGAATTTCTGTGGATATTTTGATATTTCATTTCGGGTTGAAATTAATAAATGTCATACATGTACATGTATGTTGTATGGGACACAATGCATAGAATCTCCCATATGAAACATGTCACTGCCCAGTGAGAGTCTTGGAGGCCTGATCCTGACAACGTCATGACTTCAACATACATGTACATGTATATGGTATGGAAAGAGCAAAATTCTTACCAATAAAAAAGATTATTCCATGGCCAAAGAACACCCAAAGAGCACTCATCAACAATTAACTCATAGCCTGATTCTGTTGAAAGCATTAATATATTCCCATATACATATAACTGCAGTCTTGCAAATCCCTCATATTGACGGTGGCTACACATTTACTGTCATCTGTTTACATATAATTCTACTGCACTAAATACACAGTAGCCATTGTGGCTTGATGGCAGTCCTGGTGAAATTGGAATTGTATATTGGTTGTGTCAAATATTATTCTTAACGGTACAGTTGGAAAAAGCGTATCTAGGGGGTGCCCTGTCGAAGCTTGCTAACTGTCTATATATGTTGAATTTAGATTATATACTTTATTTTATATTCTGATTATATTGTAGTTTAATTAATATACAATTTCTTTTTCGTGGTATACTCAGGGTATGAATTGGCATGTCTATTGGTAAAAAAAAAAAAAATTGTGCATAAAGCTGGGGCATATTTTGCTCATGGTCCAGATTTGTAGCAACACTGAATTTTTGCTGTTCAATAAGTATTGCAAATATTTCTTGTCATCAAAATTCCTAAAAGGCCAATGCCTACAATTCATGAAAGTTGTCTGGGTATACCATGTGAAAATGGGTTACCACTTTGAAAAAGGTTGTGCAAAGAAAAGTAACCTGGAAGTATTTGGTATGTATGGAAACCATTATCTTAAGCATACATGTATATTTTGTTACTTTGTTGATATTTGATACAGTGAATTTTGCTTGTCGGTACAATATAGTCTCAGTATGCTATATACAATCTTAACTTTGTATTGTAGAGCTGTTCACAATTTCTTGACATATCACCAGGTGCAAAACCAATGGCAGCACATTTTGAAGAGCTAAAATGTAGTATGATTGTTATAATTTCTCAGATGTAATATATTCTTTCCCACATGTATGACATTGTTGAAATATGGTGCTGTTTAATTCCTCCTTTCCTGCAAACTGGTTGCCTTGGCCCCGTCTTATAAAGAGTTGTGATTGATCCAAATCAAGCGCAAGTCCTTCTAATCAGTCACATTTTTGCAGTCCCCTATCTCTCATGTACATAGTTTCAATTGATATCAGTCGCAAATAAGTTGCGATCAATATCAACTCTTTATAAGATGGGCCCTGGACTGCAAAACTATTCTGTAGACTCTGTATTTATTCGAAGGTCGACTCCAGGGGGGCGTTTCACAAAACTTGTCATCAGTGACAAATGACAATTTTCGTTATAAGCTACTGAAACTGCTTCTGATTGGTTATCAGCATATTTTGTCACTGATTTTTGTCATTTGTCATTGAAAAAAGGCTTTGTGAAATACTCCCCAGCAGTTCATTGCATGTTCCAGATTTCGTCCAAAGCAGGAACAAGTTGTAAGAAAAATGCTGATATGGGGCTTTGTGTAATGATTGGTGTTGCCTTAATATTCTATGGCTGTCATTATTTTGTCAAATTATTTCATGATTGGTGATAACGGTATTGTGTAATCATTGGGTTCCAAACCACGGACTGTTGTTGATAATGGGTTTTAAGTTATAATAGGTAATACGGTAACTACTTCTTCAACAATCATTATTTTGTCAAAGTATTTCTTGTGATAAAACACAGAAGAGGTTTAGGTTCTGCTTGGTGATGATCTCAGTAATTTGTTCTTTCTTCAAAAGCAGTGGAACATAAAGAGAGTAGTGCATATCATTGTCATCCATTTTGTTGTGATATTTCATGGAGACTTTGTTTGCCGACCCCTCAATTAAAAATGATGTATCAATTCCTGGCACTGATCAAATTGAAGGGCAAGACATGAAGAGTTCATGTATATATTCTGCCATTTCAATTCATCTTATCTATCAGCTAATGACAGAAAAGTGTTCAAGTTAAAAGCATTGTTTGCATAGCATATTATTTTGAGCCTTACATTTACTATTACAAGTAAGAATTTATGGTTATCCGACATTTGTTCCAACAAGGTTCCGGGCTTTATTCGTCAAATTATAGGGTTAGGGTTAGGGTTGCAATTGGGGTTTTTTAGATTACCCGGAAGAGTTTAGGGTTAGGTACAGTGTTGGGTCTAGGGTTGGAAGTCATTGGTAAGTGTGGGAAATGGACTTGAATCATTTGCCGCAGAAGCAAGCGTCGTAAAAGCATGTCAGGATGAAAGCTCAATATTTATCTCCTTAACTGCTCATCACTCGGCTATTATACTGTATGATTTATTACCTAAATATGATGTAGCAGATATGATTTCTTCTTAGTTTTCAATATTCAGTTGAAATTCCTGCTGTGATGTTGGATTTATCTTCTGTCATTACCAGAATTCAAGAGGATCTGTTTTTTTTAATTGATTTTATTTTGTTATTCTAGGATTTTAAACCCACGGATTACTGAATACTTTACTGGTCCCGTAGGTAAATAAATGGATTTATACATGTATGTATAATTGTCCTGCCATGGACCTAAAGCTTTACATGTATATCACATATTTTGGGTTGAGAGCCTAAATGGCATTTAATAGCTCGTGTCAAAAGTTGTTAAATTCTTCTGGTTCTCGGAAAGGGGGTGTTTCACAAAACTTGTCATCTGTGACAAATGACAGTTTTTGTTAATATAAGCTAGTGAAATCCTTGCTTCTGATTGGTTATCAGCAGATTTTCACAATTTTTTTTTTATTTGTCATTGAAAAAAAGGCTTTGTGAAACACCCCCCTGGTGTCACATTTTTATACCCCAGTCACAACCAACAAGTCTGACCCCAGACCGACCCCCATACCACACACAGGATTACATTTACCTCGAACGTCCAAGAATCGGTCAGTTTGGCGGTGTGACCGACCTTTTAGAATTGCATGTCGACCTTCAAATTGGCAACAATAATATTTAGATGAATATATTATAAATGTACATGTATGTTTATATCAGAGGAAGTTCTGTTCTATGTAATGTACATACATATTTATGTATGAGATGTTGATCAAAATAAAAAGAGAAATACATTATCTCACGGACATTAAACTTTTTGTACGTATAGCTTATTGTTTTGTGAGGCTCATGAAGTTAGCGAAAAAAGGGATAGTATGTAATCGAGGCATTACCATATGTACTCTACAACATAGCCACTGACCGCCCTTTGAAATTGAATGAGCATATGTACAGTACTGTATATGCAGATAATCAAATCTGATTGCAGTGATTAGCTGGGCAAAGATCTCATTTAAAAGATAATTTCAAAAAATTAATCAGGATCTGTTTGCTTAAAGGGATAGTTCAGTTCTGTTGCAGAGGGCACTACACAAATTTTTTTTTTTGAGAGAGATAATGAAAAACTGAGTGGCAAATTTGGAAGAACATAATATTTAAACGACAAAATCATCTTTGTTTGATCAAAATCGGTTTAGAGACGGCTGAAATATAACAATTTCTAATACTTGTGTACCACCACAAATATTAGATATTTTGAAAAATTTGAAAAAAACGTTGAAAAAAACGAAGTAACGCCTTTTACGTTGTATTTCAGCCAATGCCGATGTTGGCTTTTTTGTTGGCATTTTCGCGTTGCATATATTACCCACAATTAGCTGGCTCATGTTTTGTTATTTTTAATTAAAAAATTAGATAAGAATAAGAGCAATAACCATGCACTTTGAAGGCATTTGCGGTCTGAAAACAGAACTCAACTATCCCCTTAATTAGGCGTTGACAAAATATGAATTCTTCTATTGGGTGAATGTTTTATGGCTCTGAATCGAAATTTATTGTCCCAAACTACCCATACATGTATACACGTATGGAGCAATATTTGTTATGTTTGTTTAAAGGCAGTTTTCCCCGTCGATATGTGCTCAAGGCTCAGGCGTCCCAAAGCTTAAATGAAAGTACAAAATCAAGCCATATATCTTATGTGAAATTTCATTTATTATACACCTCTGACTACAGTCAACATACTGTGAATATATACATGTTGTACAAAGTTACAGCGCTCCACTATACTTCCAATATACCTCTTCTTCAATCCGTCCTACACCACACTACCAATACCTAGCACGTTACTGAAAGCAACGGGATAATCATAATTTCAAGTTAAACATTCCCACAACTGATATCAATAAAATATCTACCAACAAAAAAAATCAATTCCAAATGTAAACATGCAGTCTACATACATGTAATTATGATGTTTCATAGGAAATACATCTTGTCTAAAAAATAAGCAAACATAAATCAAATAACACTTGTTTGCAGTTCATACATTTCCAGGATTCTTAAAGAGCTAATTGGCTCTAAAAACAAAATTCATTGCATTCATACACGCAGACACAGTGCATATCACATCTATTTCAATAATTGACCAATCTCTCTTAATTGCTAATACACAAGTCTCTTGAGAGGCTAAATGCTCGATGCAAAACAAACACCTCAAAAAATTCACACATCACACAATAGATATACATGCATTTAAGTACTAATTACCCAAGTAATTTGATTTGATTGATTTTTGATGATTTATTCTCATCCACAAATTATCAAAAATCAATCCCTCAAATGTAAATAAATAGTCCTTCTGACAACCTACAAGGGTATTTCACTAACTATCTAGTACAAAACGGTCAAACAAAATACCAATTTTCTGTCCCCAAAACGGGCTTGTACCACAATGAGGGATGCATAAATAAATCGAGCTGTAAGTTGGTAAACATAATGTAACAAAGAAATATTCAAACTGAGACAGAAAACATCTTCTACAAAAAAACATCCCCTCCCCATTTACCAAATACTGCATACAATATCAACAATTGCCTCGTACATGTATCTTGCACACAAATCAAACAAATACATGTTCATGTAAATCTATGTTAACATTCCTGCACCGTTAATCACAAAATATATGTTTAATACACATTATCTAAATAATATTATCGTAATATTAAATGGCAATAAAATATTCACTATGAACAAAAAAAGAACTCTAGATATTAACATTTCAGACCATCATAAATGCAAAATCTAACTAGGTAATGAAACATATCAATCAACTATTAAAATACTATATTGCATGTATAGAAAATACAGAAATAATCAGATAAATCATTCAAAATATGCAAGCAGATTAATACCATTCATAACTATTGAGCTATTCTACTAGAAAATGCTAAATTTTGGGTTTCTTAATCCCTTCTCCGGCAACAGTTCTTATTCAATTATCATAAATGAACTTTCAAAAGTGTAATTCTGCTACGATTAATTCTTAAATTAGGCATAGAATCTATCTCGAGTACAATGTAAGTAATAAGTATTTGAAAGAAAAATATATAACGTGAATAAATAGAGGTAACAATAGGTGCATTTGCTTATGTACCATATAAAAGTTTGCAAGCCAATTAAAGGTTGAAAAACTTTAGGTTTTCAATTAAACCAATCAATTGTTTTTCCATAATCTATAATGTTAACATTACAGCTTTGGTCTACCTAGAACTCTATTGAGTTTGCAACACAAATATGTATATCAAACGCAATTTCAAGCTTTCTCCTCAGACGAATTGTGTTACCAACATCAAATTTCAGTACGATGGACTTTTAACAAGGTTCTAGCGTACATGTAATTCCAGTTATGGCAACTATTCACGTGTATAATTTTTGTGGAAGATTCAATTTTCTAGCCAAATAGCTACAATTTCATTATTATGTTTCACGTGCACACTCATTTTCTGCGCAGGCTATGAATAATCATACTTCAATAGCTGCTTTCATGTTAGTACAATCATAGCAAAACTTTTACTTAAATACCAAAAATTGTTTTCTTCAAAAATCCTTGTAACACACAAATCAATCTACATGTAAGAAAGTCACCCGTTATATATTCAAAATCCTGCTATACTTCATCTGCTCCCCCCCCCCCCTCCACTCAGTGTTATTTAGGGTATGCATATGCATGTTCCCAGCACCCCCTCCCCCCCTTTCAGTATACCGGTAAGTCGGGTGTGTAAAGTCAATACGGGTAGATCTTTTTCTTTGTTACGAGCCAGAGATTTTGGGAACATGCATGCAGTCCCTCCATTTTGTGTGTTGGAACAAATGGGAAAGTTGTCCACTACTACATCCCAGAGACCAATTTGAAGAGCCCATACCTGTAGTGATTACAACTTTAAAAAACCAGTAACTTTCTTTTTTTTTTGTCCGCTTTCATTCAAAATTTTATCAGTCTACTTCTCTGATTTTTCTGCTTTTGCCTACGGTAGTTTGAGATCAAGGCTGGATTTCCCTTTAAATATACATGTATGAATATGTAAATGTTTAAATGTTCATTTAGTAATTGGGCTAGCATTCAGAGTTGGATATCGAGTGTGGTATCTAGTATTACGCAGCTGAAAGCACAAGAGATACTAGAAAATATGATTGAAGTCACATAATACGAAAAGGGGATTACGATACACATAATTGTAGAAGTGGTCTGAATCCAAAAAGAAAGATTCAAATTCTATTTTGTTCTTATTGTGACTATATTGTGACTCTAAGCACAGACTTTGATTATTACAAGTACATGAACATTAAGTACTTCAAAGATTGATTTCAAATATCATCTTCAGCAAAGTATCTACATATTCAAGGATGATGACTAAGATCTCAATCTACAATTAAACACTAGCTCAGTAACTTGGTAAAAGATGTTTTTGTCTTGTACTGCTCTCTAAACAATTGCTACTGAAAGACATCAAACCTACATAGTACAGCTCTCAAAATGATGGATCATGAATGCATTCTGATGATGTACAATACATATTTTCATGATATACTTTGGATCATGATTGCATTCTCTTGATGAATGCATTCTGGTGATAATTGAATGCATTATGATAAAATTGTGAATCTTGAATGCATTCTGATAACGTGTGAATCATGAATGCATTCTGATGATAAAGTGTGAATCATGAATGCATTCTGCTGATAAAGCGCCTATACTATGAACACATTCTGATGAACTGTTGATTACGAAATGTAATGCATTCTGATGATAACGTGAGAATCATGAATAAAGGCTGATGATAAACTATGAAATCTTTTGCTGATCGCATTCTAATGACTAGCTGTGGATCATGAATGCCTAATGATGATGAAATGTAAAACACGGAAATCCAATCATTGACTCATTTCTCATATGATTAATCATGATGGCATTCTGATAGAAATCTGTCATCTCTGAATGCCAACCACTAAGAGAGACTGCGACATATCATCATCCACTGAGTGGGTCTTCCCTACAGTTGATGGCATACAGTAGCTTCTCTTTCATGACAGCCAGGGTTGAGTACTGTGGTAGCTTGATCATGAACATGCACGTCTCTACACGGATGAAGCGCTGGTCTGGTGATCCTGTAGAGACACAGGAAAAGAGGTTGAGAGAGAAAGAGAGGTTGAGGTTGAGAGAGAGAGAGAGAATGGTCAAACAATATTTTGAAGAATTTTCTAAAGTAAACAAAAAATGTGGACTAGAATAACAATTAAGTGGCCTCATCCTAAATAAAATATTGATGTCACATTCAAATTTCCACCTGAAAGCTTGGTAAGAGCAGAACAAAAAAACATAACAATGGGCAAATTTTCAAACTACACAGACTAATTTTGGAAAGAAGAAAATTCCAACATTTATGTGATTGAAAATAATACATATACATACTCTGATGAGGGCAAGATGAAAAGCTACTTTTTGATTTTGTACTACAACTTGAGATTTAAAAGTTAGAATACCATATTTGTTCATGTCCCTGTATATATACTATCCATAATAATCTTAAAATGTATATTTATGTATATTTTGACGTAGTAATAAAATATTTGATTCTTGTATAACATCACATATTAACAACATCTCTATGCATTTCCAAAGAGCTTTGGATTACTGAATGATTCCCATCAAAAGACTTACCACCAGGTCCATCGGGCGGGGCTATCTTCATGGGGTAGGGTGGCACATGGGCGGCGTCGTTGCCCCCCTGTCTGCAGGGACAGGTGCTGGGGATACGCTCCTGGTTGCAAGCAAACTTGATGAAGCGGCTGAGCTCCTCCTGGGAGAAACTCTCCAAGGCTTGCCAGAAGAACTCAATGTGTGTGTCTGTCTCCACCAAACCAACCTGGTACATGGTGTGAGCCTAGAAGCAATCAAGAGAAAAAATATGCATTTATGTTAAGTTCTAGATGAATGTACACGACGCAATGCAGCATCATTTACGAGAGGAAGGAACATCAGCGGGCCCAGCTTTGTCCCTTGCGGAACACCGCATGTCGTATGTTTCTCCTTGGAGATACAGGACAACTTGGGCACAATTAGTCAAACTGTATGAATTAGATGGCATTTTTGGGACACTTGTTCAATGGTTTACAACAAAGTGCTTGAGGATACAGAGGACAGTACTGACCTTGAGCATGGCCAGGTCCACATGTGGTCTTCCACACATCCTGAGCTCCATGTCCGCTGGGGTCATGATGGAGAGGAGACGGTGAGGGACGATGGACGCTAGCCCGCAGCGGATGGCCAACATCCTCTCGGGACAGACCAGCTCTCTCAGGCGAAGCTCCCGAACCTCAGCGATGTACTCTCTACGATTGCTCCAGCTGTTATTTGAAAGAAACAGAAACATTTATTCAAAATTGCTTTTGATGATTAACTAACTCTGTTCACTTTGATATTCCATATGTGTTGTAATTTGTAGGTATATTTGAACTTTTTTGTTCAGTTTAATATGTAATTATTTATCAGTTTATTTTGTTTGTTAAAGCGCTTAGAGACTTTGATGGTAAGCGCTTTATTATGATTAGTAACGTTTTTATTATTATTATTATCAAGAAATTGTGATAGATTTTCAACACACATAACTCAACATGCAAGAAAATGGAGCAGCAGGCTAGGGGGCACCCTTACAGAGGATTGTTATGTTTTTAGGATTGGCCGAATTTCACTCCATTTGAAAAACTACAGGGCTCAGTTAAACCACGCCTACACAATTGATCTCAAATTCATTTAACAAATCTAAAATCGGAGGACTTTTTCTTTTTTTCCGCATTGGGAACATTTTGGTTAACCTGTTGAAGAGAGTGGTACGACAAACACTCTCCCTTCAATACCATCTGGCAACAACCAAATTGAAACGTAAAATCATCAGGACAAAGCACTCGGAAGCAGGGATCTCAAGTACAAAATAAAAAGAAGTGAAACCTCACCTGACAGGAATCTCATGACCGTTGGGACAGAGTTCCACCAGATCTCCCATCATGTTAGGATACTCAAAATGAAGGCTCATTCCAGCGCACGCTGCTCCTGGACTGGAGAGGGAGTCCTGGTCATGATGATGGAGATAGGCAGCCACAATGACTGAACACACAGCTGAGAATTCCTCCTCAGTTTGTGCCTGTACAAAAGGGAAGGGAGTAAAGATTGCTTTTAACTCATAATAACCTAGCACAAGATTACCTGAAATGAAAGTAATCGGAAATGCATTTTTGAATAAAAATAAATGCTTCTCCGTCTCGATCAAGTGATGTCCAGACCTTGAAGTTTAAGTGCATTTCATTGATTTGGAAAGAAGGTTTCTGGTTATTAAGTTGACTCGTTGAGTACTTTGAGTTAACTCCAAACAATCTTATTTAGTTGAAATTAAGATGAGTAAATGTAACATGTGAAATGTAACATGCAGAAGAACTTGATAGTAATAATAAAAACTGAGCATTATTATTATTATGAACAAACTAATCTTCACAAGATTTTATCAAATACCAAACCTCATCTGATAAACTAACCTGCTCCATCTTCTGAAGGAATCTGTGAGTCGCAATATCAGCCTCGGCTAGGTCCTGGTCTGGGTCTAGCGGTTCTTGGACCAGGCACTTCCAGAAGCTAGGCAATAGGTCCAGGGCTAAGGGTATATCAGCCCTCATGGCTATACCAAGAAGCTGATACAATTAAAGGAGATCGAAGATGATGTAGATTCACAGCATTTATGTGGTGACAATGTGACATATTTCTGTTTCCAAAGTACATTCCTAAGGGCAAGCTCTTTCAAAGAAGGAGATTACAGATGAAGCCAATATTTTCCCATACATGTACATATATTTTTGCAGATGATAAGGACACACAAATTTGCAAACGTCTTGTTTTCAAAATAACCAACAAATCTACTTATATCCACTGCCAACCCCTTTTCCTGTATTGTTAACTCGTGACAACAGCAAAACATTTGCCAAAATACATCCTGGTTGGAAACTACGGTTTAATCGGGACCACGCAAGATATCAACAGCACTGTGTGCACATATTTGTATGAAAGTGCCACTTACTGGCATGCTTTCCCAGAGGAGTGGAGAGTTTACGCATTAAGTGCTGAACTTTAAAGTTGCTCATGAGTGGGTATATAGAGGGCAGCACATGGACGAACGCATAGGAGCGTAATACCTGTTGGCTCAGTGTTATGCAGTGATCGGCAAGTTGCCTACTTCACAAACGACTATTTACCCATGCATGAACATCTTTAACACAATCCAACGACAAGATAATAATACACTTAACGTTTTGTCTACCGGAGCATACATGTAGACAAATACATGTACATGTAGACGAAAATTAAACTAAGTCGTGGGTAAAAATATATCTATTGCCATACATATTTTACAGATCAAATATATTCATCAATTCACTTTTTAAACTGCAACATGTACAAGTTGCATTGAAATTTGTTTTTACACACATTTGCTGGAAGACATCTGAATGTTATGTGTCCTTCTTAATGAACAGAAATGTCTGATAAGGGTCATGTTTGTGAGATCTTAAATTTGTGATCACTTTTTTCATGACCATCATCAGGGACTGAAACATATGAATACAAAGGCGGTTACAGGGATAATAGTGAGCACCATCCCCCCTTGACTAAAATAAAAAAGAAGAGGATTAGGGGGTAAAAATGGCATCCAACAACATCCCCCCCCCCCCCCTTTTGAGTAAGAAAAGTTTGAAAAAATAGGGGGAATAGGGAAAAATAGGGGTAAAATTGGGAAAATAGGGGTAAAATCGGGGAAAAAAACAAAACAAAACAAAACAGGTAACAATCAGGAAGAAAAAGAAATCAGGAAAAAATTTAAATATCGGGAAGGCCTGAAGTTATTAATATATATATATTTCAGTACCCGACAAAGGTCATGAAATAAAGAGATCAAAAATGTGAGAACTTGCAAACAATGATTCTTTTCTATTTAGTACTGTATGAACTGTGGTAACATTGGGTTACCTGTCCAAAGAATAGAAGCATCCTCTCTTCTGGGTAGGTCATGGGGTCAGGTCGAAGGATATAGCGCCCTCTATATTTGTCCATTGCACCGCCACTTAGACATGGCATGAGGAGGCGGAGCCTGTCGCCGTGGAGCTCCTGCGTTACCTCCCCCAAGAAGTGGCGGAAAGAGCCGCCTGGAAGAAAGATGGAAACAGAAAAGATTTACTGATTGTTGAAAAAATAGGGGACCTTCGCCATATGTTGTATCTGAAAGGCGCCTGGACCAAGCTGCAAGCATTTGCTCTAGATTGAATATTTAACCATCTATTAAAGGGATTGTTTAACAATGTTAAATCTGAGATGCACGGCCCTACATGTTATCAGTGTCTGTGATATGGTATTATATTGAAGCCCTAAAAAAATTGTGCTTCAAAATGATCAAGAAGTGCCTCAAAACAGCAAAAACCTTTGAGTGACTGGTTTTACCATACTCGTTTTCCCCAATAGACTGTAGTGTTTTGAAAACAGTTTGGAAAACAAGACCAATGTGATTAGAAAATGATTTCTTACTTGTTCCATGGACTTCCTCTCCGACCAGCTTGACATTGAAAGCGTACGTAGGGTCGCCACCACTGGCTATCTTCACACACAGCTGAGAGGAGTACACATTGGCAAGGGCAGAAGCAGCTTGGCAGAAAGTGGGTGATTTATCCTTAGTTGATGCTGCAAAACAAGCAAATAATAACATAACAATTTATCATCATCTGAGCCCCCGTCTTAAAAAGAGTTGCGATTAATCAAAACTTGTTGTGATTGATATCAATCACAACTCGTCGCCTGGCTGGCAGAAGGGCGTTAGCTCAAATTTCAGGTCAGAAAGCAGAAGGGAGTTAGCACTAAATCGCCTCAAACTTTTATAAAACTGACTTATTTCCGAGAAAAAAATTGTGGCCGTGTTTTACTGTTTGTTGTTTATGTTTTAAACAAATTTTCGGGACGGAAAGTAGTTTAAATATAAAACAAATTTTTAAATCGAATAATTCGAAAAGTAGTTTTCGAGTCGCTCGCGCGCTAACGCCCTTCTGCCACCTGGCCGACGAACTACATACATAAGAGATAGGAGACTGTAAACTTGCGATTGATTTGGATCAATAGCAGCAATCGCAACTCTTTACAAGATGGGGCCCTGGATACTGTCAAAACACAAGACTTGGTTAAAAACTGTCAGCAGCTATATTACGACACTAATTTTTTAAAATGTGAAACGCAAAAGATCAAGGACTGTCATTTGTCTCCACTGATCCACTTTGTACAAGATTATAGTTACTTACACCTTCACACAATCTAAATTGCAGCAACATCTGGTATGAAACTTTTTATGTATATGTACAATACAGTAAGTACAATAAGAATATGTTACCTTCTATTTTCGATAATATGTTCAAAATAACAAAGGATGTTCATCCATATTACACAAGACATGCTAATGATTTATATATTCCATTGTTAAAATACCATACTTCACGTAGATCAGTTAAATATTCTGAATTAATTAGTTGGAATGCAATACCTACCGATATAAAAATGTACCCATCTGTTGCCTCATTTAAACGTAAATACAAGAACTATTTAATGAAGGAATTCCTATCGTATGTTTAATTTAATTAGCCTGTACTCATTTGTTTATTTATTTACTACCCATTGTTTCTTTTCTCTTTACTTTGTATTATTATCTGAGGACACTGGAGCACAGCCTTTGAAAGGCCAATGGCCTCTGCTGGCTCCTCCATATTCTTTGTATTATTTATATCTATATATTTGCTTATATGTATAATGTATTGTTAAATGTATTTTTTTTACGAGAAATGGAAATAAAAATGAACTTGAACTTGAACTTAAAATCAGGACCACTCACAAAATTCACAAATATTTCTGGTTTTACAATCAATTATGAGAACAAAACATATGTACATGTACCACTGATGTTGAAGAGCATTTTCCATCCCATGAAGAAAGATACAAGTACAACAATACCAAAGCTTCATTTTACAGAGGACTTTATAGCATTTGCATATTGCCTAGTACTTCGATACCCTAGCAAAGCCTTCAGAAATGCGATAGCTCAGTCGGTAAAGCAGTGGTCTCCTAATCCGGCGACCCGGGTTCGAAACCAAGGCGATGCACTAGTGCCCTTTGGTAAGGCATTAATCCTCATTACCAGGTCTCTCGGAGAGAACCTAAAGCAGTCGGTCCTCTGGTTGCTTACTAACGAGCATTTATGCTTTCTTAGCTGTCAGGTAAAATAACCACCACTGCACAAACACTTTTAACATAGCATAAGAAAATGGCCTTGTCTAAAATGGCTACAGGACTTACTTCCTATAACCTGCAGTGGGTCTAGGGAGACTTCGGGTGCCGCCGTCTCCACGTTCCTCTGTGCCGTGGCGTCCAGCAGCAGGTTGAAGAAGCGCACTTTGGTATCGTAGAACAGCCACTCCCGCGTCCGGGACAGCAGCGCTGCCGTGCTCTCCAGGAGAGACTGCGAGGGTCGAAGGTCAACCAGCGGCAGGAAGTGATGCTCCAGGTTGGCATTGAGGGACTGGAGAAAGGCGTAACGTAGTCTGATCGTGGCTATCGGGATGCCTGCATAGTGGAACACAAATTAGTAACATGTTAAGTACAATGTACGTCATGTAAAGTACAATGTACGTGTACCTGGCTTTTCCCCAGCTCATGCATTAACTGAATGTGAGCCACTAGTCGACTATCTTAAGAATAGATTCACATACGTACAGAGGGCAAGCCTGAGGTGTAATCAATGTTATAAGATGATGAAGCGGAACCTAATGAAATGATTGGTTGAGAGCGTACATGTGACCCTTTATTTTGCCTAACACTTACTTTTATTAATGACCGGTCATTAGTAAATACTTATGACCGGTCATTAGTAAAATCAAATTATAAAACAAATACAGTAAAAGAGCATTTTTAAAATTACCACACTCGGTACCTGTGATACAGTCCAAACACCCTCGGTTATTGCCTCAGGTGTGTTAGACTGTTCCTAAGGTACCTTACATGTATGTGGGTGATTCTTACTTATGCCCTCACTGCTGTGCATTATTTGTATAATAACCCACTCCTTATAACAGTTCACTAATGTAACTAAAAGAAACTGACATGAGTTATGAGGTTTTAAAAACCCACAAACAATACATAAACCCTGTACCTGTCAAACAGCTATACTGAGGCCTAGCTAGGTCGGCCTCCGAGAAGACCAGCTCATGGGGATGTAGTCGAGCTGGTGTGATGGCAAGTTTGAGACATAGCTCATTGGTGTAATGGACTAAGGCCTGGTCTTGCTGATAGGTCCAGGACTGTTGAGAGGCTACGGCCTTGTTCGGGTCCTCATATCTGGTCCTGCACAGACAAAGTCAAGAGATTTCATCAGAATGGTTTGGTTAAGGAAGAAACCTGAGTGACAGTTTCTGTGTTTTAGTCCAGGCACCTTCCTGAGATGAGAACTAGTAGCTGCCTATCTGAGGAAGGTGTCTAAACTTTGACACTGAAACTGTCACGGTTCAATAATTTGGCATGTGTCGAAGAACTCTTTCCTAATTCTTTACAGTAGATTGCTTTGATAACGTTGTGTATATCGAAATGATGAATAAAATCATACGGTCATTACTGAACAATAAATGTTAACAAAATTGATAAGTACTTGTAAAGGCACCTTCCTTAGATGTGTACTAATGGCTGCCATTTGAGGAAGGTGTCTAAACTTTGACACTGAATGCTGAACAATAATTTTTAAAGAACTGACGATTACTTGTACGTGTAACACATACAAGAGAAGGAAGCTAGCAGTCCATTTGGGAAACAAATTCCAACCTTTCAAAGTGAATATCAAATCCTGTCGCCAGTAGACCACGCCAGAGTGAGCACACATCTTCAGTGGCCTTATCCAGTCCCATGCATAACAATCCATGTAAGTTGAGTCCTTTCTTGAGCACCTTCTTCTGACTGCTAGTCTCCTCCATCAAGACTTTCTCCTTGCTACTCATGTCCTTCAGACTCGACCTTTTGTCCATGACCTTCACCTTTCTCTCCGCTGTAAATGATGGCGACCTATCATAAAGATAATGAAATGAAACAGTAGAAAAGATACCAATTGCAATACCAATACCGGATTACATCGAACCGAGGGAGCGAACTACAAGGAGGAGTCAACAACAACGATACATGAGACTAGGCTCTTCAATGGACACTTACAAGTTTAGTTATTTCCCCAGGACACTTAAGGACTGGGACGAGCTATACCTCAAATCATCGTCAAACTGCCTTCTTTGGAGCAGTTCAAGGTGGCTCTTGAAACAATTTAGTTCCCTTTTCAGGAACTGTACCACATAGAGCTGTATATAACAACTCTATGCTTTACCCTCATCTAGATGCTAAACAGGCGTTGATGAGTATTACCATAGAAGTAGAAAAGAGTTATTGCATTTTTAATACATGATTATCCTTATCCGGACATCTTGGATCTACATGTACATAAAGAAAAGTATATTTAAAACAGCCACATACAATCATGTGTACAGTTAACAACTATATTATTCATACCCTTAGCAAGTTTGGTAATTTTATTCGGTATGTGAAAAATTGTATTGTACCATTCTATGTTTCTTGAGAATATGACATGTTAAAGCTTACATCTAACAGTATTCAATAAAGGCCCTAATTCAACCAGTCCATCTTTCATTCTTGAGAAAAACACAAGAACATCAATTGTACAAGGAGTATGAACAATTTATTAGTTTTAATTCTGTATATAATCAGAGCTGCCAACCTTGTGCGACCCAAAAAGGAATCATGATGGCAAAAAAAAGGAATTTCAAGCAAAAAAAAGGAATTCATAAAAACGAAACTTACAATGTATAACCACGCGCGACACACTTCCAATGTAGAAATGTTCATTCATCATGCATTTGTTTCCATACAAGCAGGTAATTTTTTTGGTGGTTATTTTGGTATTATCAGCATTTCATTTTTTATTGAATTTGTGATCAAATCACTATTTTAGGGCAGTTGTTTGACGTGCGGTATGTACAAAAAGAAAATTTAAACAAAACAAAAATTAAATTAAAAAATTGTTAAAAAACATATTTTATGAACAAAAAAACTTAATACCGTAATTTGGAGGAAAAGACAGAGTAATTCCGGCAAAAACGGAATGGTTGGCAGCTCTGTTTAATCAGGAGAGCCAGGAGTGTCAAGTCTGACAGACATGAGCGCTTTACAAGAACCCACTATTGTTATTACTATTATTATCCATGTATATTCAAAACTTTTGTCAAGTGAGTGATGTTTTGAAGGGCCACAGACTATAATGGATCTTTCTCGGTTTCATACATTTACATCCACATGCGGGTATTTCATTCAAAATCGCTTCTCCCTACCGAGGTGAAGAAAAGCTAGTCTACAGGAAAAGGAGTCTTCTGTGAAGTCTGCTAAACCATCAACTTCAAAAAAGCTGATCCATTTGGGATATCAAAAAGTACAGAATTCTTTTTTTTCTTCATGAAAGTGAAAAAGTATCTTTCACTTAAATATATATTTATCAGAGATTTTATGGGCAATCAGGATATTTTTTCATATTCATTCCACTAACTGATTCTAAGAAATGTGCTATAGTGACCACCTGTCTACAAAGACCACAATTTTTGTTTCCCATGAAATGATTTCTCATTGAAACATGTACTCAAGGAACCTGTTTACAAAGACCACCTGTCTACAAAGACCACAATTTTGTTTCCCTTGAAATGATTTCTCATTGAAACATATACTAAAAAAACCTGTACATAAAGACCACCTGCCCATAAAGACCACTTTTCTTGTCTCCCTTGGGTGGTCTTCATAGACAGTTTTCACTGTATATTCAACTATGATAATGTAGCATAACTGGCCCAGTGAGTTAGTAAGATGTAGAGGGCGTTATAGTTAATTGTGAAATATATACATGTACATCATGATATGTCAGTCAGTCAGTCAGCGTTGACCTGTCGTTGCGTTGCGACAGGTCCGTTACAAGGAACAAGTAAAGTTACTTGAATTGCAGATACAGTGCAAGTGTTGTTTCTTTAGTCCTGTCAGACATTCAGTGATTGCGGGAGTAGGTGAATGAGAGCTAGTCCACGTTTTTCTTACACGATATACTTTTGTGAGAGCCCACTGAGAGATATAGTTGATGATTGATTGTCGAGAGCGTGGACCGGGTTTTGAGAGACTTCAAGGCAGAACGCTACCCCGGCAGAGCCTGGTTACGCCACAATAATTTAAGCACAGAGAATACTTACTTTCCCTTGGGTGAGGTGAATTCGGGACTATGTCTCTCTTTGGTCATGGTCTTGCTTGGTCTCTTACCAGAGCTCTTGCTGCTGTCTTTACTTGGTTTAGTGACTGCATGGATGGTATCATACAAGAGGGATCAATCAAGGGATTAAAAACACAATCAAGGGATTAAAAACACAATCTTCAGACCATCACATGCACTCAACTGCAAATTATGATTCTTAAGCAGTAACTTGGACCATGTAAAGAGAGAAACAAGTATTAAAATCATCCCTGCATGCAACTAGTATAAAAATGAATTCTTTAAAAAACAATTGTTTTGGAATGATATTTCATTCCTTTTTTGTAGTGTCATGGTGAATATCAAATAAATAAGCATCGACTGATAAGCACTGGTTCGCCATAACATCTCATCATTCCTTTCTAGATTTTTTTTCTGTAGAAACCACTTCCAAAATAGAGTTATAAGCACATTTGCACATGAAAGAAAGATTAATAACATCAATAATAAAGACATCACCATTTTCTTTCATATTGTAAAATCAATATATATATCAATGTACAAATCATTCAGCACTAATACATGTACATTACTAATCAGCACAATACGCATTTATGAGCAATAAATGTACACCAACCTGTTTTCTTCTCTTTGATTTCCGGCAGTAACACGCCATACTTCTGGATGATATCACAGACGAACTCCTCCACCGTCATCTTGGATGGATGCATGGTGCTGAAGAACTCTAGGAGCAGGTTTCCTGGACAGGTGGAGAGGATCTGTTCTTTGGAGAGGCAGATCTCAGGGTGGGCTGCATCCGAGTCCTGGCTGGGTTTGGATTTGAAGTGGGAGCACCTGACACAGCTGTTGAAGATGTCCTCTAAAGCTGCCGAAACCTGCTGGCCCAGGGATAGGTGCTCAGAGTGCTCGCGAGGCAAGAGCTTGTGTCTCAGGTAACCTACCAAGGCCTCCATTTCTGATGGTTCTGTGAGGAGGGAAGGAGTGACTGTTGCAATGGTGAGAACATCCTCTCCAGTGACACTCATCATGGAGTCATTGTCAAACGGAAGGGATTCATCCAGGATCCTACTATTTAAGAGAGCATGCTCGATATCCTCAACCTTGGCCTTGCTGCGCACTTCAATCACCGCATATCCCTGAACAAAATTCTTTTTACTGGTGGGTTCTGGCTCACTGCTGGGTTCTGGACTCGACTCTTCACCCTGTTTGGCATCTTGGTTTTCTGGAAGACTGGTTGAGGGTTCAGATTCAGTAGTCCTTTCAGGTTCATGATATTCCACAGCAGATGGGTCCTGGGGTGTTTGCTCAGAAGCACCCTCTTCAGTGGTGGTTGTTGTTGCACCAGCTGGTGGCAGCTCTGTGTCCTGTGCCTGTTGGTCTTTAGGGTCTGCATCAATGGCAGTTGGTGGCTTCACCTCTTCCTGGACAGGAATCCAGATTTCATCTCTGAAGAGACCACCAGCTTGATTACAGGCCTTCAGAAGTGCCCTCCTTGCTGCTGGTTCCTCCATGTTTGGTGGTAACCCTGAGATCACCACTAGCCTGGAGTATGCAGTCGGTGTCTTCACACTCTGGTGTGCATCCCTGATGGCTGTCCTCATGGATGACTCCCCCTGCGGATCCTGACTGTCAAGGTATCTCATGATAACATTCAAGGTAGAAGCGCGATGAAACCAAAGCATATCCTCTGGATTGTTCGCTCCATTGGATGATGCTTCACCACTGTCGCTCTCGCTGTTGTGGGGAGTCCTCTTCTGCTGTCCAGCTCTCTTCATCTTCGGTCGACGTTTGCGGGATGTGACCTGAGGGCTGGACCGTACCAGCTGCTTGGGGCTCACCATTGAGGCTGGTCGGAGAGAGGGAAGAGTAACCGTTACTGAGATAGAAGTCGAACCTGTCTGAGGCGCCGAAGGGAACTGATCAATCTCCGACATAGCCAGGCAGAGTTCCATGAGGGCTTGGAAGTAGGATGTGTGCTGTCCTGGAGTCACTGGGCCACTCCCAATCACAGCCAAAAGTGCTTCCTCATCGAACAGCTTCCCAAGCTCACTGCGGAACCTTCTCAACTCTGCCAGCACTGACTGCGGAACCATCGTGATGGGAGAGGCGCTTGCTCCATCCTCATCATCCACCTTGCGGATGAGCCTCAAGATCTGAGCCATAATGAGAAACAGGTGCTCCTTGATGACGGCCGGCACTGCTGCTCGACCAACATACCCACTGAGCAACTCCAGCACCCTGATATACACAGCCGTCGTAATCTTCATTGGCTTCTTCAGGATCTCCTCCCGTTCCCCGATGCTCTCTGCCGCAGGGCGCAACATCACATTGGCATGGCACTTGACCCGTTGGTCACCCATCTCCTGCCGACAGCCAATCAGTGACTCCACGAATACCATGGCCAGTGGGAACTCTGCAGGCAGCCCATGGAGGGTCATGACGTAGTTTGGAGCTGGGGACACGCCTGCTTTGACGTGGATCTTATTGCATGGTAGCACCACGGATGGATAGGGATCGACGACATGGGAAGACGGAGCTGTGAGTCCTCCTGAGGTGTTGAGGGTGGCATCGGCAGGATAGCTCACCACCTCTACCGGTGCCACACTGCCAGACTTCTTGACCCTCTGTCCCATGCCATAGCAGCTGACCCTTGCCCAAGGGGCTTGGTATAGAGATGACCTAGTCATGACAACAAGAAAGTAAGGAACATACAGTACATTATATTATAAACTTCAAACTTTTTTCATTTACATTACTGTTCTTAATGCAAAAATAGCTTACTATAAAAAAACGTCATCTAATTCAATTAATTTATTAAGAGCCAGCATTTCCATTTTTATTCATTTTATTAAATCAGAATTAGTGTGCTATTCAATATAAAACCATCTTTTAAAGCGGTACTTCACTACTTGTACATGTACATGTAGCTACTTGTGCCCTCTATACAGCCAACAATGCCTAAGCGGTACCCGTTGATCCCCCATGGTCCCCTTTTTCTTATCTTATTTGAGAGCTGATTTGATGAGATAACCACCTGCCAGTGACCAAACAAGAAGGTCTAATCCCTTCTGGGGGTGTTTCAGAAAGATCCTAAGTTGAACTTATCTCTAAGTTGGACTTAACATTTATGGAAAGCCGTTAGCATCTTTGAAAATATTTTGTAAAAGATATTTTAAAAGGCAGAAAATGTTGATTCAAATCATTCATGTACTGTATTCTATTATCATGGGAGATTTCATGTTCTTGATGTGGAATTTATAAAAAGTCTAAAATAATTCAATTTTTGCTTTTGAATGTATTTTTTTAAAGGCTACAAATGGCTCTACATAATATTTGAGTCGAACTTAGAGTTAAGTTCGACTTAGGATCTTTGTGAACCCCCCCCCCCCCCCCCCTCCCTGGTCAAACTAGTGCAGATAGGCTTTAATAAAAAGCAGAATGAAGACCTACAATGTACGAGCATGTCAAGACTTACTCTCTGTGAGATGAAAGGATATCTCTCTTACAGCTGACAACTAAACCCACGGCATTCTTGAAGAAAAAATTGTTGTTGATCTTTGCTCCAATGGTAATTGACTCTACATCGAAAGCTGGGAAGGGGTCCTGTGAAGAAATAGTCAGGTTGTGTGAATAAAAAAGGGTACAGATTTGTGGTCACAACAAATTACTTAAATTTGATTTATCTTCTGACTCTTCGATACTGTGAAAACTGGCCACCTTTACAAAGAGTAATTAAAGAATGGGTTCATTTTCAGCTACTTCAATCCAATTGACAAATATCTCTACAAAGAATTTTTTTTCTTCATAATATGAATATTGCACAGTTTGAATAATAACTAAAAACTAAAAATCCTTCAAAGTATGATTTATGGTTATGTTAAAGATAAAGGTGAGTTCTGGTCATGCGATTGTATTGTAACAGAAAAGGTGTGGAATGGATCAGAAAAAGTTGATCATGTAGCATGTAAGTATTGGTGTGCACTGCAAGGTTCTGGAGTCATCAAAATCAGTTATAAATTTGGCCCAGTCTTGGTAAAGTAAAAAGCATTTTACACAGATAGGATTACACAAATGGTGTCGGGGCTAGCTTACCTTGATGTCCTTATCTTTCTACGCTTATTACTCAGCCAGTATACATTTTCTTCCAAAACCGTTTGGCACACAACATTTATTTGTAATCTTAAACATTCAGTGTAAGTTTTGTTTGATTCTGTGAAAATTAATTTTCTTTTTTTTTACCAGAACTCAAGTTTATCTTTAAGTGACATACCTGTAACACAACTTGGGAATGTCAAACATCAGAAGAGTTTATCATTCTGCATTCAAGATCCATGCAGAAACATGACATTGTTGCAATACGTAGACTTGAAACACAATTTTACAAATCAAATACATTTACCTGAAAGATTCCACATATCTCATTTGTCAGCTCCACGAGATGCCTCTCTCCTTGCTGTGAAGCTGTTGCTATGGAGATAGCAAGCTCCCTCTTGAGGTGTGGCAGCTCTTCCGCTCCGTAGAAGACGGCGGTCAGACTCCTGGTGATGATCGGAGCCAGGCTGTGACCTACGCCGCACGAGGTCAGGAGGGAGCGGTCATGGAGTCGTCCATTCTGCTGCGATGACGTCAGCAGCTGGTTTGACAGGAGCTGGAGGTGTGAGATGTGTTGTCTGGCGCCACCATTGGCAGCGAGCGGAGAGGCAGAGGAGGGGTGTTGCTCGGTCGGTGAGAGTGAAAGGGTACATGGGATGGCTTCAATGACCTCGGGGCTTTGGCAGTGAGAGAGGAACTTGGTAAGGGCTGTTCGACAGTAGAGGCGGGCCAACGACGATTCCAGTTGCAGAAGTTCCCTGTGTTTCAAAAAAATTCAGATAGCACAGAATCAATATGGATTTGGTTTCAAGCATACAGTGCAACAGCTACTTCTTGTTCTTTTATACTCATCTCTAGAGCCCCTCAATATAAACGGTTGCATTTGTTTAAAGAAACTGACTTTGAAATGTTCAGAATTTCACTTTCAGGTCTTTAAATAAAATTATGGAGTTGGGATTTAAATTTACAAACGTTTATGCAAGAGGCCTATACATGCAGTTAGTAAATTTCAGTGTAGATATAAAAAGATTTACTGCTGGCTTTGGTTGGACATATTTTGAGATTATGAATCGTGATAAAATTGTAAAATTACAAATACAGGGTCCCGTCTTAAAAAGACTTATGATTGATCCAAATCAATCGCAGGTCCTCCAATCAATCGCAAGTTTGCAGTCTCCTATCTCTTATGTGCATAGTTGCGATTGATATCAACTCTTTGTAAGACGGGGCCCAGGTACATGTATGCACAATTACAGACTTGATGGTGCATCGATCATACCTGTGCAGCTGTATATTTGAGATGTCAATGGACGTTGTCCCGGTCAATGAGCTGCTGACCCGTCGCATGCCAGCTAGAGGGCGCTCTAACATGTCTAGCGGGTACCAGTATCTCACCAGCACACCCTCGCTCCTCAGGTAAGACTCCACCTGAACTAGTTCATGTTGCTGTATAAAAACGAAAGGATTTGTTTATTATTTATTTTCTTTCTAATTAACATACAGTGTATGTCCAGAGAACTTTCACTGCATTCTATTTAAAATAAATGTCTCAATAACAAATCCCCAAAATTAAGCGTAAGTCTAACTTACTCGCAAAGCCCCATTGGTAAGAGAGAGAGAGAAAGAAAGAGAGAAAGAGAGAGAGAGAGGTAGAATAAAAGCTAGATCTAGTTAAATTAATTTAACTGTTAAAACTTTCATCCTATCAAAATCCTAGAAAATTTAGGAGACTAGTGGGGCGTTGCAATCGATTGCAAATATCAGTTGCAAATTTTGCAACTTGCAATCAATTGCAACTTGTAATCAATCGCAACTTTCTTGCAATGCCCCATTATAGTAATGGTACAATGTATTATTTAGCCCATCAAAATACATTTACTGCAGGAGTATACAACAGGCATTCCTCCATAATGCGAGATGACCGCAAAAGAGGCTTCGAAAAGAAGGCATTTTTTATCAGGCTGATAATAAAATAAAACAAGAATATAATTATCATCCTGTATGACTGAAAGTTCTTCTTCATTATAACTGTCCTAAACCCTCTATAATTCTTCTCAAAATAAAAATGTACATGTATATAAGAAATTATTTTGATTTGCCTCTTCTAAATAAGTGTTTAAGAAAAAAAGTCAATTTTAAATGAAGCAGGTGATTAATTACCAAATCTAACCAAAAATGCAAATTTGTATGTGAAAATAGCGATTATAAATTGCATACTGCATTGCCAAGTCAGAGAATTAGTGAATATTATAGTATTAATGACTGCTTTGAGAGAAATAGTTGTTTTTATACGCTCAAGGGAAAGTTAGAATTGTGCTATTGCCCGAGGCGTGCCGAGGGCAATAGCCCAATTGCAACCTTCCCGAGAGCGTATAAAAACAACTATTTCTTGAATATTAAAGCAGTCATTAATACTTTTATATGCCGAAAACAAAAGAGTCAACTAATGACACCACCTTGGCCTTTCTCTAGTTTATCTGCACGGTTGTTTTTTATGAGTGTATCTCTGTATATTCTTCGCACACGTACGGTATCCTCGATCGCTCAAAACATAATTTTAACATGTAAACCTATGGGTAACCATGGTTACTGGGATTTTAGAACTATTTTTTAAAACTATTACATGGGTTTGGAATTTTACCGGGAAATTTACAGGAATAGTTAAAGTTTATGAATGCAATTTCGACCAATCAGATGGCTAGATTTCTTAAGTGAGGTATATAATTACAGTTACATCGTTCTTATTCATGAACAACCAATTGTACTGCTTTAGAAATGGAATTTAAAAAAATTCAGATTCTTTGCTCTTTCTACTTATGCACAATGTGGAACTCCTAGCATTCTGGATCAAAACATAATAAAAAATAACATCTCTAAAAGGAGACAACGAACTGCTACGCATCGATTGGCTCTTACCGAATCCACATTCAGGACGACCCCCGAAAGTCCTAGGGTCTTCAGCATGCTCCTGATGGCGTACTTGGGCACCAACGTCCCTCCTGCGACACTGGTGCTCTCCTCACCCAGAGGTCTGATCATCACCGTGGTACCCTTGCGCACCTTGTCGATGGTGAACTTGGCAGCCTCCTGTTTGACGTCGTCGATGGTCGGGAGGTGGAGGTCTCGGGGGATGCCGCCGTTCTCCTCGTACAGGAACTCCACAGTCTGACGGGCGATGTCCGTCATGCCTGGGAAGGTGAGCGAGACATTGGAATTGTCATTTTCATATAAATATAAAAAATACATATACATATATATATATATATATACAGCCAAACCTGCTTTAGTGACCACCTGTCTACAAAGACCACATTTTTTGTTTCCCTTGAAAATGGTTTCTCATTGAAACATGTACTATAGGAACCTGTACATAAAGACCACCTGCCTATAAAGACCACTTTTCTTGTCTCCCTTGGGTGGTCTTTATAGACAGGTTTCACTGTGTATATATATGTACATCCTCCTTCAATTTGACAAGGGTTCTAAGAAGGTGCATATCAGTTGTCTCACATTTGCAGCCATTGCTCTAACAGCATCCTTTGGCAATCGGAAAACTAGCAGCTAGCTTTAGTCTGCCAGTACAAGTCTGAGGAAGGTGTCTAAACCCTCAACATTGAAACTGTTTCACAGATAAAATGTCTCATAGAAGTCTTTTAGAATTATTCAAACCATTCCTTTTTAAACAGTCTCATACTGTATGTATAGAGAAGTAGATAATAAAGCATGGAATTATAGGGATTGGGTAACTTTGTCTCAGATTCTGAAACAAAATCCTGTATTTAGCTCATGCTGCAATGATAATGATAAACCTTTAGGTCAGTCAAGAATCCCATGACTTTTACAAGCCGATTGCTTGTCTGATTGTCGAGATATTTACGATTGGAAATCAAAATTCAATTTTCGTTTTCCTAACAGTTTTTATAACATTACAGTCTATTGGGGAAAATGAGTAAGGTAAAACCGGTCACTCAAAGATCTTTACTTTTTTGAAGCACTTCATGATCATTTTGAATGTTACACCATATCACAGACACTGATAACACGTAGGGCCATGCATCTAAGATTTAACATTGTTAAACGATCCCTTTAACAGTCTCATATGTATAGAGAAGTAGATCATAAAGCATGGAATTAAGGGTTGTTAAACATGACTAAGAGAGTCTTGTCAAGACAGTCCCCTTAAAGTTTGGCCAAGGGAGAATAGACCTCCCTGGAAGGTCACTGACAGGTGGTTATCTCATCAAATCAGCTCTCAATTAACATTAAAAAAAGGGGATCATGGGGGACCAACAGGCACCGATAAGGCATCGTTTGCTATATAGAGGGCGCAAGTAGCTATAAGTAGTGCAGTGGGGCTTTAAAGTAAACCAAGACTCTTGCTCCTCACCCAGCTGCAGAGCTCCTTTAATCTGTTCCAGACCGGACCTCCTTTCAGCCTCGTTCCTGAACCGTCTCCTGATGACAGGGAACACCTTGAGTTCCCAGGCCCGGACTAGGAGGGCCACGTGGTCCTGCTGGCCTTCCCCGTCCCTCTCCTCCTCATCAGAGTCATCCAGGGCAGAGGATAGGGCGGTCTGGTGGGGGGAGAGACCTGTCGTGGTGAAGTCAGCGTAAGCACCGGGTAAGCTGTAGAGCTGAGACTCAGTGATGTCATACTCTGTTTGAATAAATGAATGAAAGAAATACAATATTTGTTAATATAAAACATCTTTAATAATTTTCAGGTACTGTAAAAAAGTCTGCATCATCGCGAAAGGGAAAACTGTGACATAACACCCATCTAATTTGTGTCTCTGTTCATTTTCACCCTGCTTTTATGGCAATGTGCATTATTTTGACAACCTTGATCATACGTGATGATCAACGATGCTTCAGAAAACTGTTCACGGCCAAGTTCACGTATTTTTTTTTGTCTGATCATGGAATACAGGTGTACTTTGTTTACATTGATGATCCTAGCAACTCTCATGAAGCATAACTGCAAGTATCACTGAAATGAATGTCTGCTCATGGATTATAAACAAACTGCACCACCTAGAATCGAACTACAGACATGAGCGTCCGCCTCACATCTGGGAGGTCGTGGGTTTGAAACCGATGAACACGTCCCACTGGAAACTGGAGCCCTGCACGGGATGAGCGCGTCTTTGCCTTGGCTGAGATATAATCATCTGAATAAATATATTTCCTATGGGAACTCGGTGTTATATGCTCTGGCTCCTAATGGTTAACTTTTGATGCTCTTTCGGAAAATGAAGAAAAAATTGAGAAATTCTAAAAAAAGATTTTTATGACGTCACAGCTTCGGTACTCTATAGTAACAGTATGTGTAAGTCAGAAGCTAAAACCTACCTTTCTTTGGTTTCTGTGGTGTTGCCAATTTGAAGGAGATCCCTGCCACAGCACTGACGGTAGGAGACGCCTGGTCAGCGGATGGGGTCGTGGGAGGGGAACCCTCCTTGTCACTGTCACTCTCCGCCTCCAGATGGAATGGAAGAGCCCCAAAGTTGGCAGTGATCTCTTCCAGAGAGTCCGAGGACTCTAGGGTCGGCGTGTGGTGGCAGTGGCCATCCACGTAGGCGAAGGGTCGACTCCCAAAGTTGGCTCGAACCTGGGTGTTCTGCTCAAGAAGAGGTGGAATAATAATAATAACAATAAATAATACTCAGTTTTTATATAGTGCTTATTAGAATGACTAAGTCCTTCCAAACTTGGAGATTATTACCCCGGCTTTAGCTGTGCTGCCATTGTGGCGCTCTAGCATTTCAAAGAATTGATTCCTGCCAGGTACCCATTAACATCACCTGGGTTGAGTGTGGAAGGAAAACATATTGCAGGCAATCAATGTCATCTAAATGTCATAAATTTATATACCTGGGCCCTGTCTTACAAAGAGTTGCGATTGATCCAAATCGATCAAAACTCCTCTAATCAATCGCAAGTTTGCAGTCTCCTATCTCTTATGTACATAGTTGGATTGATATCAACTCTTTGTAAGACAGGGCCCTGTTGTCTATACCAGGGGGGTGTTTCACAAAGATCCTAAGTCGAACTTATCTCTAAGTTGGACTTAAAAATCATGGAAAGCCATAAGCATCTTTGAAAATATTTTCTAAAAGTTATTTTGAAAGGCATAAAATGTTGATTCAAATCATTCATATTTTCTATTATCTTGGGAGATTTCATGTTCTTGATGTGGAATTTATAAAAAGTCTAAAATACTTGAATTTTCCCTTTTGAATATATTTTATTTTAAGGCTACAAATGGCTCTCCATAATTTTTAAGTCCAACTTAGAGTTAAGTTTGACTTTGGATCTTTGTGAAACACCCCCAGGTGTTTTTTAGCAATTAAAACAATTATGGGTTACTTGAAAAAGATCAAGCAAGTTTATCTGTTATCACAGGTTATACCTGTGATACAGTGTATCTTTAGGGAAAAATCATTATATGTAGATGCTTCCTTCTCACCCAGCTTTGGAATGAACACAAATTCTCATAAATTACCCAAATAGCAGAAAGTCTACTTGCATGAAATGGACATGTACAGACAGCAGTTACCATTTTCTTGCAATTTCAAACAAAGACCACATTTTAAAGGGATTGGGTAACTTTTTCTAAGATTCTGAAACAAAATCCTTGATTCCATTCATGCTGCAATGATAATTATAAACCTTTAGGTCAGTAAGGAACCCTGTGACTTTTACAAGTTGAATACCTGTCTTATTATCAAGATATCTATGATTGGAAATCAAAATTTCATTTTTTCGTTTTCCTATGGTTTTGATATTTACTTTTTTGAAGCCCTTCATGATCTTTTTTTAAGGGCTTCAATAATACACCATATCACAGACACTGATAACACGTAGGGCCATGTACAGGTGTATCTCAGATTTAACATTGTTAAAGGATGCCCTAAAGCGACCACAATCTGACCAGACTTTGATTAGGGTTGTCTTACTCCTTCACTATTTTTCAATTCTGGAAAAACCACTTTGAGTTCTTCTTTTTTTAATTCCATGCCAACCTTGCCACACTTTAAAGCCCCACTGTACTACTTGTAGCTACTTGCTTCCTCTATTTAGAAAACAATGCCTAATCGGTGACCATTGGTTCCCCCCATGATCCTCTTTTTCTCATGTTAATTGAGAGCTGAGTTGATTAGATGGCCACCTGTCAGTGGCCACCCTGGGTGGTCTAATCCCTCCTAGCCAAACTTGTACGGACGGCCTTTAAATTCAACCCTAAACCTACCTTCTTCTGGACGTGTACCACCGGCCACAGCCCTCCGCTGACCTCCTCCAGGGTAGGGGCAAACTTGTGACCGTTCAAGGTCATAAAGATGTGACCTGCTCGACCCGACCCGTTCAGAGGTGGGGGGTCGTCGTTCTGCTGCCAGCCCATACCGATGACATCTCCGACCTTGAGAGTGATGTCCAGACGGACGCTCTTCCATCGCAGGAGACTCGCCCCGCTGTAATGGATGGCATGCCCACTCCTGTATGTAAGAGAAGAAGAATATTTCAATGGCTGACTGTTTTGTTTGTTAAAAAGAGAAGGTTGAGTTCTGGGAAGAGGTGAAAAATAATTTGCAAGCGTTATTGTTATTTTGCAAGTGTGGATGAACATCAGATACAAAGTGTTCCCTGAAAAGCATGGCTCTTCAAATGCCTTAATATTCTAGATATGTCATGTAACAGCATAAAAATTCCGTACTAGTTGGCAGCTCTGCCCTTCCAGTTTGACTTTTTAGGGCTTGTTGGGGCAGTTACTGCAATAAAGAAAGGTATAAAGAAAGCACATCTCCTACTCACACAGGGAAGAGTACAGTCCCAATAGGGTTGGTCCAATTGTTGGCACCATCCTTCTTTTCAGCGGGCGGGGCCAGGCCCATGGATACGTTAGGACCAGAGTCTTCGGCAGCATCGCCATAGGAACAGATCTCAAGCTCCCAGTAGAATGAGGTCGCCTGTATTGCAATTAAAGCAAAAAGTCAATCAAGAAGGATATTCTATGTACATGTTTAATCGCATGGTCCAAAGTACAGAATAAAATAATATGAAACACCTCGAGAATTTCTTGTACTGTACATGTAAGTTTTTAATTTTTTTTATGAAGGCCACAGACTAATTTTGACATACAATTGAAAAAGGCAAAATATTACTATGGAGGTGAAGATATGTTACATAGAACAAAGTCCATGTTTATATGCATTATTTATTAAATAAAATAAGGATATTTGGATGCAAGGCGAGAAGTTTTGACCATTCTTTAACTAAATCAAATCAACACTTTTTCAGTCCATACATTAAAAATAACAATATTCCCTTCTTGCAAAGCGCACGTCTCATTATGATGTAACGTCTCTACATGTTTCCAAAGAGCTTTAGGAAATTATTACCTCAGCTATAGCTCTGGCAGCGCAGAGTGCATATAAAGGAATAATCCTACCAGGTACCCATTTTTCATCACCTGGGTGGAGTGTGGCAAATGTAGTTTAACATCCTGCCAAAGGACGTTAGTGCTGTGGCAGGGATTTGAACCCGTACCTTGTCATTCACAGTCCAGAGACTTATTCACTGGACCATCCTACCTCTACATTGTCTAAATGTTTAGCAGTGATTTATAACTAATCTCTATCACTTCTTTACCCAGCCATTACAAAACTCCAAAATTGAAAATGTCAACAAAATTTGTGTTTTATCTCTTTCACCAGGCTCACACATTTCATAGGTTTACCTGATGAGGCACCGCCTGAGTCGCATAGCACATGACACCGGCCGGCAGACCACCTGAGGTCACAGGGTCACCCAGAAAGGTCAAGGAGGTCATGCACCGAGAGAAGAGACACGCCTTGACTGGTGGGTAGGAACGGCTGGGGTCGAGGGTCATGTCGTGGACCTGGAAACAGTGAGTTATGATGAAATGTATGAGTAGAAGTAAACCTTGAACCACAAAGATATTTTTTTTAACCCTTTGCCTATGGACACCACATGATCCCTGTATGAAGCCGATAGGAAAGAAGGAAATCAGTAGCCAATTGATTAATTAATCAATATTGTTTCTCCTGTACTCATTTACAATGCTGGTAATTAAAAAGATGAATTTCTAATCTTATATTTTAGGGTAGTAATATAGTGAATGACACAGACTTCTTCAGTAGCTTTCACAGTGTTTGCCAATCACCTTTGGTTACGTGAATAACCATGAAAGGATTCTGATCATAATCTGTTGTTCCTGGATTGCAGCAAACTAGAAAAGCTAAAATCGCTCTCTGCTCTTGAACTCCATAACTCCTGTATCGTTATCACTGTACAGGGACCCCTTTCACAAAGCCTTTTTTCAATGACAAATGACAAAAATCAGTGACAAATCTACTGATAGCCAATCAGAATCAAGGATTTCACTAGCTTATAACGAAAAATGTCATTAGTCAACGATGACAAGTTTTGTGAAATGGTGCCAGTATTACAATCAACTCACACTTGAGATGCTCTGCTTGGCTGGAGGTGTAGGGGGCCTGGCACAGTCTCTATACAGCATTCTCAGCTTCTCACACTGGGCTCCTAGTACCTTCTGCCTCTCCCCTGCCACGGAAACATAGAGATACGTGTGTCACAGGGCATGTACATGAAGATGGTACCGTATGAATACGTCTCTTTCCTGCCACAAGGGCGTTTCATGCTGCTTTACAGAATACATGTACATGTACTGTACATGTATGAGTAATAACATGCTTTTGGCTCTAAACAGACAAATTAGCCTTTCTTTACAGGAAATAAAAGGTATTTGAAACATTAGGAAGCTCTTATTGCACATCTATGGACTATTTTACATTTAGCATGATATTACATGTATGTAAAATTAATCACAAGGGTTTTGACAGCAAGATAAACAAGAAACTCCAAAAAGCCTAATTGTGATATATTTCTGCGCAATATGGATTTTTGTAGTAAAATTTGAAGATAGGCTTGGCCCAAGTTGGTATGAACTTTATCATTGATGAAGAAGGGTGTTTGTTATTTCAGAATAATCAATGGCTGTCAATTAACGTGTGCTAACTTCAGAGGCGTATTTTAGTTTATAAGATGATGAAGCAGATCCTAATCAAATGATTGGTTGCCAGCGTACACGTGACCAGGCATTTATTTTGCCTGACACGTAATTTTACTAATGACAGGTCATTTAGTAAATACTAATGACCTGTCATTAATAAAAACATGTTATACAAGATCATTTTATAAAACAAATAATACACATCATTTTGTTCAGGCATTAGTAAAATTACCCACACCCGGTACCTTTAAAACAGTCCAAACACCCTTGACAATTGTCTCGGGCGTGTCGGACTGTTCCAAAGGTACCTTGTATTGTGTGGGTTATACTTAGTAATGCCCTCACTGCTGTGTATTATTTGCCAGGAACTGCAGAAGGGATTTGAACAAACCTGTTCCGCATTGTTGAGAGAGTGACTTGAGCACCTCCAAGGGGCGGTTGGTCTGCATCACAAACTCCGAGGCAAAGTTGGAGTCATTCATATGATGGGCAAGAACAGCACAAGCTCTGTTGGTTGGCAAAAGACAGAGGTTCCAAATATAAGAAAAACATTTTCTCTACAAAGATTCTAGTTGCAGGGTGAGACATCACTAAGTCTGCCAATCAAATCAAACAATGATTTAGTAGTAGCCTGTAGAATAGTAATCTATACAATTCTACATCTTTAACTAAAATGTAGTATCTTTACTATTTAATTTCCAAATGAGAGATGTCCCCAAGTTATTCAGTTGCTAAAATATGTAACTATGTACACCTGTATAAATGAAAATTATCACTATACACCATGTACTTTTGTAAGTACAGTTCCGCCTGCGATCAACGTCACAGTGGATCGCGCGCATACGCGTGCACTTGCGCGCGAACGCGATTGATCGCGATCAGCTTAGAGCGTGGAAAACATTGCTAAAATGTAATGCAGTCCTTCCGTATGAAATGTCGCCCTCTGTTGGCGATAGTTTGCTTTTTTATTTTTGTCAGTTATTGTTGCTACTTACGCATAATGTTGCGGCGGGAATCTCAAAGTGAAATCTAATCGGCGGGGAAAAAATATATTAGACGTTCATTTTTTGACTAAATTGAAGGCGGATGACTTTTGAATTCGCTAAACCAAAATTAAATCGGTAGACTTGTTATCTAATGAGACGCAATATTTATCTATTTTTTCAAAAAGCTATTTGAGTTGCGGCGGGAACCTCAAAGTGATAACTAATCGGCGGTGAAAAAATATATTAGACGTTATCTTTCAATTTCGATTTAATTTAAGGCGGTTCCTTTTTTAATTCGCTAAACCAAAATTAAATAGGTGGACTTGTTATCTTATCAGACGCACTACTATTTTTCAAAAGACGATTTAAGTTTCGGCGGGAAACTAATCGGCGGACAAAAATGTATTAGACGTTATCTTTCTATTTTTATTAAATTGAAGGCGGATCCTTTTCAAAATATCTAAACCAAAATGAAATCGGCGAACTTATTTTCTTTTATGACGCAATATTTGTCTCTTTTTCCAAAAAACGATTTAAGTTGCGGCGGGTCTTTTGGGGGAATTTTAAAGTGAAAACTATTCACGTGACAGTTGATCGCGCGCATATGCGTGCACTTGCGATAGCAATCACTTTAATGCATGGAATTGCTAAATTGAATGCGGCACTTAAGTGAATACTAGGTTATCTTTCTTTAGGCTAGTTGATTAAATTGAAGGTGGATCCTTTTCGAACTCTCTAAACCACAATTAAATTGGTGGACTTGTTATCTTATCAGACGCAATACCTTTCTATTTTTCATAAGATGATTTAAGTTGCGGTGGGAATATGAAAGTGAAAACTAGTCGGTAACGAAAAAATATGTTAGACAATATCACTCTATTTTTTATTAAATTGAAGGTGGAACCTTTTCGAACTCTCTAAACCAAAATCGAATCGGCTGACTTGTTATCTTTTATGACGCAATATTTTGTCTCTTTTTTTTTTGGAAAAAAGATTCAAGTTGCGGTGGGTCTTTTGGGGAATTTTAAAGTGAAAACTATTCACGTGGCAGTTGATCGCGCGCATATGCGTGCACTTGCGATCGCAATCACTAACTTTAATGCATGGAAAACATTGCTAAAATTGAATGCGACAGTTTAGTGAAATCTATGTTATCTTTCTTTAGGCATATTGATTAAATTGTAAGTGGATCCTTTTTTAATTCGCTAAACCAAATTAATCGGTAGACTTGCTATCTTATAAAACGCAATATTTATCTATTTTTCAAAAGACGATTTAAGTTGCGGGGGAACCTCAAAGTGATAACTAATCGGCGGAGAAAAAATATATTAGACGCTATCTCTTTTTCAAAAAATGATTTAAGTTGCGGCGGGTCTTTTGGGGGACTTTTAAAGTGAAATATATTCACATCACAGTTGATCGCGCACATATGCGTGCACTTGCGAACGCAATTGATCGTAATAATTTTAATGCATGAAAACATTGCTAAAATTGAATGCGACAGTTAAGTAAAAACTATGTTATCCTACTTTATGCCTATTGATTGAATTGAAGGTGGGTCAAAAAATTGTATTTCTATACCCCCCATTCACATGAAATACTAGTAGCGGATCTGTATCTTACCGCGTAGCGCGGAAGCTCGGACGTTTCATTAAATTGTTAAAGAAAGAAGACGATTCGTTGTACCATTCTCGACTCTTAATCCTTGTCTAGATTCAGTTTCTTTTGATGTTTCATTAAATTATTAAAGAAAGAAGACGATTCGTTGTACCATTCTCGACTCTTAATCCTTGTCTGAAATCAGTTCCCCCACCTCCCCCCCCCCCCTTCCCGCGCGAAGCGCGGAAGCTTTGATATTTCATTAAATTATAAGAGAAAGAAGGCGATTCGTTGTACCGTTTTCAAATCTTAATCCTTGTTTGAATCAAGTTCCAATTCCTCCGCGCATATAGCGCGGAAACTCTGAAGTTTCATTAAATTATTAAAGAAAGAAGACGTTTAGTTGTACCATTCTCGACTCTTACTCAATGTTTGAATTCAGTTCCTCCCCCCCCCACCCCTTCCCGCGCGAAACGCGAAAGCTTTGACGTTTCACTAATAGAGAAAGAAGGCGATTCGTTGTACCGTTCCCGACTCTTAATCCTTGTCTAAATTCAGTTTCCTTTGGCGTTTCATTAAATTATTAAAGAGAGAAGACGTTTCGTTGTACCATTCTCGACTCTTTACCCTTGACTGAATTCAGTTTCTCCCCCCCCCCCCCCTTCCCGTGCAAAGCGCGGAAGCTTTGGCGTTTCGTTAAATTATTAGAGAAAGAAGATGTTTCGTTGTACCGTTTTCGACTCTTAATTTTGTTTGAATCAAGTTCCAATTCCTCCGCGCATAGCACAGAAACTCTGACGTTTCATTCAATTATTAAAGAAAGAAGACGTTTCGTTGTACCATTCTCGACTCTTTACCCTTGACTGAATTCAGTTTCTCCCCCCCCCCCCTTCCCGTGCAAAGCGCGGAAGCTTTGGCGTTTCGTTAAATTATTAGAGAAAGAAGATGTTTCGTTGTACCGTTTTCGACTCTTAATTTTGTTTGAATCAAGTTCCAATTCCTCCGCGCATAGCACAGAAACTCTGACGTTTCATTAAATTATTAGAGAAAGAAGACGATTCGTTGTACCGTTCTCGACTCTTAATCCTTTTTCTTCTTACGTCCTCTTCCTTTCTTCTTTTTTTTCTCTCTCTCTCTCTCTCTTTTTTTTGGGGGGGGGGGGGGCGGGCGACCGCCCCCACCGCCACACAACCCCATGGCTACGCGCCTGTATCCTCTCTGTTTCTTATTCCTACTCTCTACTTCTTTTTTTGCACTTTTGCGCTTCGCGCTTAACATTTAGCTTTTAGATTGAATAAATTGAATAAATTCATCAATTCCTGATGAAGCCGTATGAGCGAGAATTCAATTTATTTTTGTCTCATATACGGTTGTCTCATTTGCGTATGTATCATGAAAATGAGATAGCAAAATGTGTATATTGATGGTCATCTTGCGAGTATAATAACCGTTAACTACTCTCATCGGGCTCTCATTAATTTTTCTCTTCATTTTTTTTTGATGGTAATGTACAGGCCACCCCCACCTGAAATATTGGGGGAGGGGGGATATATCCCCCACCCCCACCCCCCCCCCCCCCGGGATCGACACCCATGCCCTATTTTGTATTAAATTGAAGGTGGATCCTTTTCGAACTCTCTAAACCAAAATCGAATGGGCGGACTTATTATCTTTTATGACGCAATATTTGTCTCTTTTTCAAAAAATGATTTAAGTTGCGGCGGGTCTTTTGGGGGGACTTTTAAAGTGGAATATATATATATTCACGTCACAGTAAGTTGATCGCGTGCATATGCGTGCACTTGCGAACGCAATCGATCGCAATCACTTTAATGCAACTTTAATCAACTAGGCTAGTTGATTAAATTGAAGGTGGATCCCTTTCGAACTCTCTATTAAAACCAAAATCAAATTGGCGGACTTGTTATCTTTTATGACATAATATTTTCTATTTTTTAAAAGATGATTTAAGTTGCGGCGGGAATCTCAAAGTAAAAGCTAATCGGTGGCGAAAAAATATATTAGACGTTATCTCTTTTTCAAAAAATTATTTAGAGTTGCGGCGGGTCTTTTGGGGGGACTTTTAAAGTGAAATATATTCACATCACAGTTGACCGCGCGCATATGCGTGCACTTGCGAACGCAATCGATCGCAATCACTTTAATGCATGAAAACATTGCTAAAATTGAATGCGACAGTTTAGTGAAAACTATGTTATCCTACTTTATGCCTATTGATTGAATTGAGGGTGGGTCAAAAATGTGTATGCCTATACCCCCCCCCCCCCCCATTCACCGTAAATCATAGCGGATCTGTATCTTACCCCTATACTGATATTTTCAAGCTCTCTTCATTTCCCAGGTTCCTCATATGATCTACATGTAGGCCTACTAGGTTTTTTTTTTTTAATTGTCACTTTTTATTGATAACAATTCAAAAGTTCTAAAGCCTAGTGCCCACTGTGCGATCTGAGCTTATTATTTATCCGATTTTTCTCAAACCTTCACTAATGTGCTTCTTTGATTTTTTTTCCATTTGTCCAAGCAATCTGCTTTATAAAAGGTTAATTCTCCTTTAATGATAATTCATTGTAGGCCGCCTACATGTGACGCCTGACAGAGTTGTTGTACCTGGATATTTCTACATCATAGTCGAGTGACCAATATGCTAATTTGAGATTCACATAGGTCTAGATGTATGTTTGTCTGTTTAAGGGCAAGGAGTTTTCTTATTATTTCCTTTGTCCGATTTGATAGTTCAAACTTTCAACTATATATTTCTTTGATTTTTCTGTTTTCGCACAATTACAATTGTTACTCGGGTTGGGTTCCCCTTGCATTTATGTAGCTAGTGTATTAAAACCAGAATTGGATCATTTACGTAAAACACACGTAGATCTATATATACACATCTCAATTATC